TTGGTAAAATCTAGACAACTAATATAATGAATGACTTAAACAAAAAAAGAAACCACTCTTCCCATTTGATAGACAAAATAAACATACATTTATTAAAGATGTAGCTTTCTAACATGTCACTATTGCATCATCATCAAACATGCATTGTTAGATAAGCACATTCACTTTAAAAAATCCTAAATCTTTAAGTAGATATCGGGAGTTGTTAAATATAACAAAAAATAATATCTATCTTTAACTCTATACAAGTTGATTGCATTTTCACTCGTATAAAAGCTAAGGTATCAAAGATTAAAGATTTTGCATTCTAAGTTTAAAATTAGATATAATGCTATATGTATTTTTCTATATAAAGCTAAATATAATTAAAACACTAATTCATTATTACTTTATGTTTAATTAGAAAAGAAAAAAAGGATGCCGTGTTTTAAAATCATAACAATCGAGGCATCAAATCTCTAATAACATGTCAAAAAAACTATTAAGTCAAAAGGTTAATCGAGAAGGTGAAGCTTGAGGATACAATTTGAATTATTCTTTAACGGATATACTTCTTTTTTTTTTTTTGGGATTTTTTTGAGAGGGGGTGGTGAAGGATTATGCATCCTATGGAGGTGTAGAATAAACAAAACAAATTTTCTCCATCTAAGGGCCTAAGATCAAGTCGTTAAATCTACTAACCATACATGCATAAATTTAAAGCAATGAATAAAAATTACCTCTTGAAGCATAGATCTAAATTCTTTTATCGGAAAAGTCGTCTAAGTGTCCGGCCTCTATTGATGATCCACGTAGTCTAAGTATACATAAAGAAGCATTTAAAATTGATAGGGTGCTAACTCCACCTTTTTTCTTATTTATGTAGTATTTTCTATAGAAATCTAATCCGAGTAATTTTACGACAACCTTAAAAAAGAAGGAAAGAGTGTGACGTGCTAGTGGTTTTGGAGAAAACTATTTTCTCCTTTTTTTTCCTTCTTGCCATGTGTCCAAATGGATTTTTTTCCAATTCTAGCCAAATTTTCTTTCCCAATAATTTACTCTTTATGCCGCACCTCTCCTCCTATTTATAGGGGAGAGTTTCCTTGTCCTCCACGGATAAGGAATTATTTTTACATGTGAATTTTTTTATCTTTATCTTTAAAACATTCATCCTTATCCAATAAGGTTGATGTTTATCCTCCCACTAAAATATCTTAAGGCTTTTAATTAAATCTAATGGGCTAAAACTATTTTAGCCCAATTAATTTATTTGGACAATCCAAATAAATAATCTTAGTTTATTTTAGACGGGTCCACATTATGAAACAATTTTTCAAAATACCTTTTAACCTAAATTAGGAAACTCATTCCTCTTTCAAACTTATTTATTTTTAAATTTGAAACTAACTTCCAAATTAGAAAACTGATTTCTAAAATATAAAAATTTCCATTTTAGAAAACTTCCTATTTAAGGAAACTTTTCATTTTGAAAACCCTTTCCAAAACAAAAAACTTTCATAATTAAAAACTTTTTCCAATAATTTTTGCTTCTCATTTATAATGTGAATATTTAAACTTATGTGTGTGACTTAATAGTCTCTTAGATATGTTGACAATGTATCAAGAATAAAAGACTCATCTTTTATCTCTTGATATTTTATTCTTGATACATAAATCAAGATTGGCCTCCGACATGACCATCCAATTTTCTAAGAGGATTAATTAATCCATTATTACCTTTCACGAGCATGGTTATCATACAATTCAGTTCTCATGTCAACTTATCATAGTATGATCTCGAACTTGATTATGATTATGATCACACAAGTTTTCTTCGATTTTCAAATGTCTTAGCTCTTAAAGTAAATCAACTATGCTCTATTGGTGTACTCCTACTATGGTCACAGCATTTCTCGAGCGGACATTTTATGGAAGTACAATGTGATAACTTCTTTAGCATATAAGGAATGACATATCCTATTTTAGTCATACACCTATCTCCATTAGATTTTTAATGCCCCTAACGAATTGCCCACGTGCAACCCTTTAATGGGTTCATCAAAACGAGTGTCAAAGTGCATAAGTCCTCTAATGAGACAACCGTGATGACTTCAAGTCTAACAACCATTTGTATCCATCTCGTATGAGATTCCCCTAGACTAAAACCAAATGGGTTCTTATGGCGAGTCAAGTCCAATGATATGTTCTCTAACATGAATCGCCTAAGTGCTTGCTTTGGCATCACCATGTCAATAGGTGTGAGATCTTCTACCGGTATCATATAGCATGAGCATAGCACTCACAAGTTTATCTCGCATATAGTTAATATCTATTCTTGACAATGCTATGACTTGAGACGTTTAATAATATCATTTATATGCATTAATATTTATCTCACATATTTTAATTAATCACTATCGCAAATGCATATCATAAGGACTTCTATCTAATTTTATTGAATTTACAAACATAAAACATAAGAATTAATAGAATAAATTCTTTATTATTATTATTATTAAAATAAATAATACAATAATACATTAACTCAAGCCCATCCAAACATGATTGGATCTTGAGCACCTATACTAGCAAGGCGGTATCTTGAAATATTATAAATGAAACGTGAAATGGTACAAAGGGGATAAATCAACCTAACCCAACATATTAGGGGAAAAAGGTAGCCTAAACCCCCGAAAAACTACAATAAGGAATCTTGAAAATTCTATAGAAGTACTTTGCAATTTGCTACCATAACGTAATTGAGAAAAATACTACAATTGCATAATACTAAATCCTATTAGCAAAGCCATAGTAGTCATAAGCATGACTATAATCATGATATGTGTCTCTTCTATTTCTCTCGGAGATTATCCGGACAAGACTTTGTCATAAACAAGACATTCTTACCGGCCATTAAAGGACCTTATAATCGATAAAATCTGGACAACTAATATAAATGAATGACTTAAACAAAACAGAAACCACTCTTCCCATTTGATAGACAAAATAAACATACATTTATTAAAGATGTAGCTTTCTAACATGTCACTATTGCATCATCATCAAACATGCATTGTTAGATAACCACATTCACTTTAAAAAATCATAAATCTTTAAGTAGATATCAGGAGTTGTTGAATATAACAAAAAATAATATCTATCTTTAACTCTATACAAGTTGATTGCATCTCCACTCGTATAAAAGTTAATGTATCAAAGATTACAAATTTTGCATTCTAAGTTTAAAATTAGATATAATGCTATATGTATTTTTCTACAAAGAGCTAAATATAATTAGAACTATTCCAATCAAACGCTTTTCTATATATACTGTACACTAACTTAACTATTAAAATAAATAACTTGTTTTACAAATATTTTCCATCCATTCAATATACAACTAGTTATATCAACCATACCACCATGGATTAGAAGCCACTCAAACCATCTTCACGACCTCATCACAAGTGCACCCTGTTTAAAGTCAGCACAAAAATTGAGTCCAATCTCGCCGAAAGAGTGCACAATTCGGCTGGATTAGGTTTTCCTAGAATAGCACGGATTGCTTCTTAAGAGTCTGAATCCACTATAGCAGGTCTATGTCCAAGATTCCAACTCGTTGGAGACCCATTCCGACAGCATGAAGCTCAACAACTAAGATTGTGGAAAAGTCAAAGATAACCTGAGAAACCCACAATCCAAACACCGTTACTGTCACGTAAGAGACCACCCATACCAGCACATTCCGGATTTCCAATACAGCTGCCATCAGTACTACTCACCTTGATAAAGCCATCAATAGGCTTGGACGAGGTAAGCAACAAGCTAGGGCTGATTGTAAACCACGCTCTCATTTTAGTTATCAAAAACTAACCAGCAATCTTCTAGAAGCTGTTTGGTTTGATTAATCTGAACACATTGGCTGATGAAGAACCCTTCAATGGACTCACGCACCAAGACACCCAGCAGGCGACAGTAAAACAACGCCAGAATTGATTGTCATCCGATGGATCAGCATTAGTATATAACCCACCAGGTTGTCTCTTTTAACCCCGTAAGGGAAAAGCATTAGCTCTCCACTTTCTACGTTAGAATTTCCCCATTTCCAATTTAAATGTTCCAGCACCGATGATATCTTTTACCGAGCACTAACAGTGGCTTCCAGGTGTGGATTATACTTTATCGGATTATACTTATCCTGCAACCAGAGGAAAACAATCACATCCTATATGCTCGACAGCCAAAAGAACTTTTACATAAAAATTACCAACATAACTTCTCCAGGAGCTAGAGTACCATCATCAATTGGGAACACTGGAGGAGCTTAAGCTTCATATTAGTGCGTGAATTACTCTCAAGATAAAGAACGCGAAGCAGCAAGCAAATGAGGCCGAACATTTTTGACAGAATCAAGGCCATTACGCCCTGGAAATGAAGGAACAATCACTTATGGCACTCGAAATAGTATTTGGATTAGGAATTGGTGAAGACCAGCCCCACTAGCCCCAAAAACCTATTTTATAGAATTTATTATTTAAAAATTATGGTAATATTTTGATCAGAAAACTGATATTTGAAGTACACAATAAACAGTACTAATCTCTCCATTAGAAGATTCTAAAAGACGAGATTTACTTCCAATAACTGAAAACCTTTGTAAGAGAAATTGCATAACTCAGGAGCTGGTAAATAGATAAAATAGTTCAAGGTTTCTTTCAACTCCCAAGTTGCTTAACACGTGATTATCTGTAAGTTAAATTGGAAACTCAACTAGGAATTAATTTGCAAGTCATTGGCAATTGAGATGAAACTAATTTTCAGAAAGTTAATAATGAGTTACAACGCTACAAAGTAAAGATAACATGTTTTATAACTTGAAAGGACAGAAAATCTTCAATAGGCCAAAACACAAGGCCAACTTGAGTCAATAAAACATCCCAAGTAACTTTTCAGTAAACATACAAGAATTTAACCAAATACACATCAAGGCCCCAGTCTATCAGACATTTTAAGATAACTTAACTATAAAGGTCATCTTCATCAGCCCCGCCTGCAGAAGCTGCAAAAGGATCGGATCCAGTTGCCCCAGCACTAGCTTCAGCAAATCTGAATTCAGATCCAAACCCTCTTGACTGTTGCAGTGTTTGAGCAAATGCCTGATACTTGCGGATGTCGGCATCACTAACACTCCGACGGGCATATTTCATGGACTCCTCAAAATGTGCTGCCTTGATCTCTGCCACCTCATCCTCAACATCTTCCTCCATAGCCTCAGGGTTCTCACTTCGCCTCCTCTCCCTCTCAATATCCTACAAGATACAGATCCCAAATAAATATCTCATAGTGTAACAGGGCAACTAACTAGAGGGGAAAAAAAAAAAAGAGAGAGAGAGAGAATAGAAGTAGTAGTAGTAGTAGAAGTAAAAGAGAGAGAGAGAATAGTAGTAGTAGTAGTAAACAAATCAAGGCATACTTTCTCGATGTTCTCTCTTATGGCATATTTGCAGGCACGTTGGCATATTTCAGTAATGTCAGCACCACTGAAACCCTGTGTATACTTGGCAAGTGCTCTGAGGTCAACATCTTTGGCAACGGGTGATTTCCTCAAGCAAGACTTGAAAATTTGAAGGCGAGACTCCTCATCAGGAAGAGGTATATAGATCAACTGATCAAGCCGCCCGGGACGCAATAGGGCAGGGTCTATGATGTCAGGTCTGTTTGTGGCCCCAATTATGAAAACAGTTTTCTTTGCAGACATGCCATCCATCTCTGTCAGAAGCTGATTCAAAACTCTATCAGCAGCACCCCCAGCATCTCCTGAACTGCTTCCTCTCTGCAAGTATGACATAAAACAGTAAGCAAGAAGCAAAGTAAAGTACATCTCTACGACTTGTTGGATGAACCCTCGAATCATACACATATCCATAATGAAACGCATCTCTAATGACTAGTACCACTGAATAGTTTTCTTATGCCAGATGATTACCATGATCTTGAAAAGAGTAAAAAATTCATAAACACTCTTGAGCAATGAACGTACCTGAGTAGCAATTGAGTCAAGTTCATCAAAGAACAAGACACAAGGAGCAGATTGCCGAGCTTTATCAAAAATTTCTCGCACATTGGCCTCACTCTCACCAAACCACATTGTAAGCAATTCAGGACCCTTGACACTGATGAAGTTTGCCTGGCATTCATTGGCAATAGCTTTAGCCAGCAGAGTTTTACCACATCCAGGAGGACCATAGAACAGAACCCCCTTTGATGGTGACATTCCAAACTTCTCAAATTTCTCAGGGTGCTCCACTGGATATTGAACAGTCTAACACAGCAATAGTTGCATCAAGTTAAGGACTGAAAAAAAAAAAAAAAACATTTACAAATACCATACTGTAGAAAAACAGCAATTACCTCCTGCAGCTCCCTCTTAACATTATCGAGACCACCGATATCTTCCCAGCTAACATTAGGAACTTCAACAACCTGATAAAAAGTTCTTAGTCAGGGACAAGAACAAAAGATACCCACAACAAACTACTTAGGGTCAATACTTACTGTTTCACGCAAAGCAGATGGGTTGCTTGTTCCAAGAGCAGTCTTGAAGTGTTCATCAGTAACTGCCATGGAGTTGAGTATCTCAGCATCTATTGTCTCATCTTCCAAGTCAATCACATCCATCTTTTCTCTAATGCATTGAAGTGCAGCCTCAGTGCAAAGAGCTGCTAAATCAGCACCAACATAACCATGAGTATCCTTCGCAATTCTTTCCAAATCGACCTGCATACAAACCCAAAATTTAAATAAAATAAAAGGAACTAGCAAAACACAAGAGAAATGCATGAAAGGTTATTGTATTTGTTACTTACATCTTCAGAAAGCTTCATGTTCTTAGTATGAATACGAAGAACCTCAAGGCGCCCAACTTCATCTGGGACACCAATATCGATTTCCCTATCAAATCTCCCAAACCTCCTCAGTGCAGGGTCAATGCTATTGGGCCGATTTGTAGCCCCAATGACAATAACATGTGCCCGGGATTTTAGTCCATCCATGAGTGTCAAGAGTTGGGATACAATCCTCCTCTCGACCTCTCCATTTGTCTTCTCTCGCTTGGGGGCAATCGAATCAATTTCGTCGATAAATATAATCGATGGTGCATTCTTCTCTGCTTCCTCAAATGCCTTTCTGAGATTGCTTTCGCTCTCTCCAGCCAATTTTGACATGATTTCAGGCCCATTAATACAGAAGAAGAAAGCACCAGTTTCGTTAGCAACAGCTCGGGCAATAAGAGTCTTCCCGGAACCAGGAGGTCCATACAGCAGAATTCCTTTCGGTGGTTTCACACCAATCGATTTGAATAGTTGTGGGTGTCTCAATGGAAGCTCCACTAACTCCCGAATCTGAGCCATCTGTTTTCTAACACCACCAACATCATCATAACCAACTTCATCCAATCTGTCCTCATCCTCCCTTCTCACAGGCTCTCCCTCACAGAAGATCTCAGTGTCTGGAGCAACCACACAATACTCCGGAGGGTCAGTTTCAATGACTTTGAACTCCACACTTCTCATTCCCCCTCTCACAAGGAAGAAATCACCCTTCCTCACTGGGCGATATGCCTCCAGGAAATAAGCTGCATCATGCACACAAAAAGAATTTAACAAGTAACCAAATGTAGGATATCATAACTATAAGACTAGACAGTCAATGGCAAGAACCATGTTTAGAGTTTAAACCAAAAAAACCAACAGGGTAACTTTTCTTCTGATAATTTAAATTCCAAAAAATAAGTACTTAAAAGGTTATGCTAAAAGGAAAAGTAATTATAAGAAAATGGACAACGATATTGATGTGTTGCAAAAATCTCAGAAGTTCCACATTAACAATCATGTATCACAATAGATCATTAAAAGCAGCTGCATAAATCATTGACTATTGGATGCCTGCATATGTATATTGAGCAGTACTGCTTCACATAATTACTAAGATAGCAGGAAAATTTTCATAAAATAAAATTGTCAGAAGAATGAGGCAACCACCGACTTCTTCACAGATCACAATTATCATCTCACAAATGGAAAATAGAAACAACAAAGCTATTCACCCACAGGTGCACAAAAGGAGATTTTGAGCATCAATAGGGTAGGGGAATTGGAAAAATAAAGGAGAGACAAGTCAATGAGATAATTTCTTTAAAGTAGAAAGTGCAGATCAAACATATATAAAACTAGGACTCCAGTGCAGCAATTAAAACCTTAAAAACAAGAAAGGTGGTTTGAGCAAGTGCAAATAGTATAAAAGCATCTCATGTTTAGGTGCCGAAAACATTGTAATTTTAAAAAGCACAAGTTAATGCAATCATAGGAGACGTGTTCATAAAGATAGCAACTTCCAGGACCAGCTCAAAATCAAGAGGGTGAGAATTTGTTTCGTAAACATGACACTTTCCTTATTGAATCCAAATTGTAGAACTTACAAGTCTAAAGTACAATTCATCATTAATAACTAGTTGTAGTATGAGTAGTATGACAAGTTAACTTCTGATATTGGCTGAAAATAAAAGGCTTAGAATAAACTCACGCTTCAAGTATGCATCAAAGAGATTTCCAGTGACTCCTTCAATCGTATCATCTATGGGCAGGATGTGCACACGTTTTCCATACTTGACATCAGGACACTGGTGTACGGACACCACATCTCCAAGCCTAACCCTCAGGTTCGACCTCACAACCTTGTTCATCCTGATCTTTGGTTCATCACATGAGTCGTCAGCAAGGGCAATACAAATCGTATCTTTCCTTTTCTTTCCCTAAACACCACAAGCAAAAAAGTAACAAAGAACAACATTAGCACAAAATGTCAAAAAAATTCAAGCAAAATAGCATTTTTGCATAACAAACACAAGCGCAGAGAGAGAGAGAGAGAGAGAGAGAGACAGATAACAAGAATCATGTATCCAAACATCCCTCATGTAGGAGAGTAGTGAGTGTAGTTCTAATACATATGATAAGCTAAAATAGAAATTTTTATAAATGGAAAAAAACCAAGAAATTAAACATACAAAATTAGACAAGTATTTGCTTATTAAAAAACTTTAAAACCCCCAATTCACTAAAACACGACTTCATCTGCAACAACCCCAACAACATATAGGTATAACCGAAGCCAAAGACGCACCCAATTCAGAGATCGTATAAAAACCGACATAAAAACATCACATACCCACATACAAATATAAGCATAAATCACAAATTTCAATCTGCATCAACCCCGAATAGGTCACTAACATAATTAACAAAATAACCAACCCCGACAACCAATAACCCTCAAACAGCAATCATAGATCGAAGAATCAAACCTTAATCAAGATAGTATCACCCCGAAAGAGCTGGAGCTTCTCCATCGTCTCAGGATGAAGCGAAACGACAGAGTTATCATCGTTAATAGCCTCATCAACAACAAGCCGATTCGGAGCCTTCTTTCTCTCCAAAATCGCAGTACTAAAGTCCCTCTTTGTTCCCTTACTGCAGACACAAACAAAACCCCCAAAAAAATTACACAAAAATTAAAAATATAATCGCTATAATCGAAATCAAAAGATGCAAAAGACAAGAAGTAAAAGAGAATGTAGATCTATCTAAGTAAGGATGTACTTACGAGTCAGAGGATTCAGCTTGGTTAGACATGGTCGAGAGTTTTGTTAAGAGACAGAGAGAGAGAGTAGGCAGAACTCACAGAGATCGAAAATATCTGTTTTCGTTTTTTCCTTACGAAAATTGATTTTGTGATCTAAAGAGTTGGGTGTTTTGGTATTTATATAGAGGGGTTATCTTTGTTTCTTGTTTGGAAAGAAAAGTTTCTATTCGCTCCAACTTTTTCTAGGACCGAAAAAAAAAAATCTATTTTATTTTATTTTTCTAATCCTTTTTTAATTTGGATCTGGACAGATACTTGAAACTTGTGAATTTGCAATTGAGTTGTATCTCAATTAAATAAAAATATTTTTTCGAAAATAAATAAAACATTTTGATATTATAAGAAAATGGGATGATTAGTGTCAGTGGTATAGAGAGAAGGAAATAACTAAACGTGTATAGAAATAAATAAATAAATAAATAAATAATTCCCTTACTATATGGGAAAATATGAATATATTAATTTCTTAAATTTTTTTCTGAAAAAACAAATGAGTGAAATAGTAAATATGTATTTTATTTTAGATTTAAATTTTGTTTGTATAATTTGAAAAAGAAAAAACAGAGAGAGAGAGGTTTCTAACTTAAAATTTATTTTTTGGAAGAGCGATGCTATAAAATAATATTATTTTACGATATTATTGCATAAAATATTGTCTTTATTTATAATTTATTTGTTTTTACTCACTCGATTTTCTTGAGTGACAGTCTAAATTACAATTTAAAACTTTATTGTTTAGATACCAAGTTTTGAAGAAATTACATAAAATAAGCGAAGAATTAGAGGCATACGAAGAGAGGGACTGGTAATTTTGGCATGAGGTACGTGCAAACTTAGAACACGAGGGTATAGATAATCTAGAATGTTCCATCATCATCCATGAACTCTACCTACCAAGAATTATAGCTCCATGATCCCAAGAAATTCGTTTAGAAATTAAAACTTCTAAAGTGTGCATTGGTTAAGAAAAATTCAAAATAAAAATATCAGAATTAATGTGAAAATTATGATATTGGAATAATATTTATATTCTCATATTGTATTTATAATAGAAATAAGAAATCATAATGAAATTTAAATTTTTTAATATATAATTTTTTAAAAATATAAACAATGATTAAAAAATAATTTTATCAATTATCTTAATAATAAAAATTATAGAGGCGACTGTGACGATAAGAGTAGTTGAATAGATGAAGGATGACGAGGAGAATGTATAATAAAAGTGATAATAATTATGAAATGGTGATAGAATTATCATCATAATAATTTTTTTATCATCATTGTCAATAATATATGATAAAAGTAATAATTGTAATTGAGAAAGAGTATTATATCATTATTTTAAAGAAAAAAATTATTTTTATTTTTTATTTTTTACATGAAAATAAAACTATATTTAATTTTTATTTATATTTTCACTCTTCATTCTTTCTCGTTATTTTATTTTTTGTAATCACTTCTGATGTACATAAACAAAAACACTCCAATACGGCATGGTGACTCGTGACTATGGCTCACGTTTTCTTTTTCTTTTTCTTTTTGTAGATTATTAATATTCTCTTTTGTTTATAGAATTTTTTTCCCCAAACTTTCCCATGTTTCTTACAATTTAAGAAAACTAGTCAAAATTGAAAGGCATATGAAATTTATTTTCCCTCTTTTTTATCACCACCGCCAATCCATGCTAAATCATGTTTCTAAAATATCTCCTATCACAATCAGACATCAAAAAACATTTTCGTACTTATTTATCATGACACAGAAAATTTTGAAAAATATTTAATCCATTCTCTTAGAAAATGTTTTTTCAAACATAATTTGTTTTCTTAAAACAACCTCCTTAAAGTTTGAAAGAAAGGCAATGCTTTGCTTAACTCTTATTCAACTCGTAGATATTCTCTCTAATGATTTCTTCTGCGCTTGAAAGGAAAACACACTCCCTATGTTGGATTCCTTTGCTCTTACCGAAGTAATGTTTCAATCAGTCCCTCAAGTTTATTTCTGCTATGTTTTAGTCCTTCTCTTCATTGAGGAGAGAAAAGGGGGATATTTTGGGAGAGAAAAAGTCGCCGGCCATCCCATTTTCGCGAGTGATTACGGAGAAAAAGTGGATGATGTGATTGCACCTGATGAGTTTTTAATCACGATTTTCTGGTACCGGAGAGTCACCGTAGAAGAAGACAATGAACACGCATCCTTCGCCTGCTGTAGCTTAGAGCAGGCCTGGATTTTGAGGATCAGATGTGTGGGCCTTACTTTCTAGGTCCGAACATTAGGGTCTGGTGTTGTAGGCCCGCTGCTTCTTCTTCTACAACTTAAGGGAAAAAAAAATCTTTTAAAATTTTTTTCCTACCTAATGAATGGGAGAAAAAAATAACTCATAATATCTGAATATATATAAATAAGTAAAATTTTAGAAATTGATTTCAATTAATCTTTAATGAAAAATATATTTTCTGAAATTTCTAATTAATTTTGAAGTTGACTAATAAAAAATTATCTAAATCTTAGTCACATTAATATCAAGATAAAATTTTTAAAATTTATTGACACATAGACATTTAGATATTAAAAAAAATTAAATTCTGAAATTTATGAATAAATTTTTTAACAATTTATTATAAATATTTTTAACCTCCTAATTTTGAACTTTTAAAAACAAATTATAAAATGTTATTGTAAAAAAATAATTAACAATATACAATTTTACACCTTAAAAAATATTTTATAAAATAAAATGAGCATAATTAAGGGTTGACCCCTCGGCCAAAATTTTATAAATTATAAAATATATATATATTTTATAAACATTTTATAATATTTCATATAAAAAAATTTAAAATTAGGAGGGTTAAAAACATTTATAAAAAACTCATAATATCTGAATATATATAAATAAGTAAAATTTTAGTAATTGATTTCAATTAATCTTTAATGAAAACTTTCTTTTCTGAAATTTCTAATTAATTTTGAAGTTGACTAATAAAAAATTATATAAATCTTAGTCACATTAAGATCAAGATAAAAATTTTAAAAATTATTGACACATAGACATTTAGATATTAAAACAAAATTAAATTCTGAAATTTATGAATAAATTTTTTAACAATTTAAATTTTGTAAATTTTCCATTGAAAATTTTATGAAGGCATAAAACTTTGGTGGTTAAGAAAATTAGCTTGACATCTTAAATTAAGGAACGAAATGCTTCATATAATTTTAGAGAAATAAATGTCCTTTTTCAATAAGTATAAATATAAATTTTAAGACTGAAATTTTAATGAATCATTATTAAACATTATTTTTTGTAAATTTTATATTATGCATGTTATTGAGTATTATTTTTTATAATATGCATAACATAAACTTTAGTTTTAATGGCAAATTTTGCTTTCATTCTATTACGATTTTGTAATTTTGGATCCATGGTACCAAATTATATAATCTGAACCCCAAAGTATTAGAGATTGGATAGATATGATCTAAATTGCTTAATTTTTGTTATATATAACAATCAATTGGATTGACCATTACTTGAAATGTTAAAATGATATCGTTTTAATGTTTTGCTATTAATTATATTTTAAAAAGCATTTTAAAAATATTTTTAACCCCCTAATCTTGAACTTCTTTTTTAATTTTATTATAAATATTTTTAACCTCCTAATTTTGAACTTTAAAAAAAAATTATAAAATGTTATTGTAAAAAAATAATTAACAATATACAATTTTAGGCTCGAAAATATATTTTATAAAATAAAATGAGGATAATTAAGGGTTGAACCCCCCAGCCAAAATTTTATAAATTATAAAAAAAATATTTTTTTTATAAAAATTTTATAATATTTCATATAAAAAAGTTTAAAATTAGGAGGGTTAAAAACATTTATAAGATTTTTTTATATATAATTTATAAAATATTTATAATATTTTATAAAAAAAAAGTTTTAAAAAAGTTCAAGATTAAGGGGTTAAAAATATTTTTAAATTTTTTTTAAGAAGAAAACATAATTAACAATAGAATGCCAAAACGATGTCGTTTTGGCATTCGTATTGACCGTTATACATAATGAAAATTGAATAATTTAGATAATATTTGTCTGATCTCCAATATTTTGATATTCAAAGTACTATGAGTCTGAAACTATTAAATCACAATAAAATGAGGGACGAAATTTGCCATTAAGTCATAAAATTTATGAAGTTTTTTGGGAGAGAAATTTCAACAAATTGAGTTAATTAAATTATATTAATTTTGACACAAAAATATTACCAAAAGAATCAATATCAATCAAAATTAATTATAACACATATATGTTTCAATATGAATTAACTAAAAATAAATAAAAATTAAGACATCTTTTACAAGCAGGCAGAGCTACTCGAGGCCCCCTTGCTGGTATAATCTATTTGAAATCTGTAGGTTAAATGACCTTGTTGGTACCTCTATGTTGTAATTTTGTTGATCCAGTCCTTCATCAATTCAATTGGTTAATTCAACCCTTATACTACATCAAACAAAAGAATAAATTGGAGAATAATCTACTATTCATTGATAAATTGAAACAACTAATTGTAAAAACAGATTGAATAATAAACTTAAAACATAAAGATAAATTGAGCTAATACCCAATTTATAAAGCAAAAATATAACTTGCAAATTTGAGAATATTTCCAACCAGAGAAATGTTTAAAATTACAACTAATTTGGGGAGAATAGACAGCAGAGTGGCTCGTGAGTAGGCAAAGCTTTCCTAATTGACTGAAATTACGGAATGACGATATATTTTGAGAAATGACAATATATTTTGGAGATCTATTTTGGTATCCAAATTTACGAAAACAACTCAAATCGATTATTAGAAACAACACGTCAATTTGAAGAAAAAAAATAGGCTAAACCTATCATTTGCACGCCGTGTTTTTATAAATTCATCAAATAAGTTCCCGTATTTTCAGTTTAGTTAATTAAACATGTATATTCTCAATTTCAACCATTTAAATACCATTTTGCAAACTTCATAATTTTTATACTTTAAATTGAATAAAAATATAATATAAATACCACATGTAAATCCCACTCTATACAGTTACATTATTTAACGTATAAATACTATTGATTTTGCAAAATTATACTCAATTGAATGAAATTAAAAATTCCGTGTTTAATTGATCAAATTAGAAACACATGAGCTTAGTCGACCGTTATATAAAAACACAGGATACAAAATAGCAGGTTTAACTAGAAAACTGCATCAGATATTAACAATGTACAACCAAGAAAACCAAAAGAGACAATACATGAACAATGTGAAGCGATATGATCTAAAAAGGTTATTTGGTGTACCGAGGTTGATCAGTTACAACTTACAACAGTTCTGGAAAATGATTTACAGGAATAGTAAGAAAACAAGTCAAGGAAGAGAAAAGGAACAAGTATTCAATGCCTATTTTTGTACAAATGCAGGAGACTGACTGATCATGGAACAGCTACAGAATTTTCTTGGCTTGCACTGGTCCCTCAGCTCACACTCCTTCCGAAGTCAGCCGAACATAAACAATTAGTTGTTATGATCTAGTAAAGTTCCTATTTTATAAGAGGGGCATCTCTTGAGATCCACTTCGCAGTAATTCAAATCCTGCCGCTGATTTTAAAATCTGAAAATGAGGTAGTTTCTCGAGCTTCTACTGTTGAAGTCGAATCTTTCTTGTTCAGCCCAAAAAAGGAGCAACTTTGAAATGCATCCAAGCTGCTGGCTATCAGATGGTTCAAACCACCAAGGCTATCACCTAAAATCAAATCTTCAGTGTGGTATTTGGAGGATGGTAAATCCAGATCTAATAGCCCTAACGAGTCAGGCTGCAAATCCCAAAAAAAAAAACAAAAAAAAAAACAAAAACAAAAACAAAAAACCAAAAAAGAATCAGGCTGTATTGTGGATAACATAAATCAGGTCAGCTATAAAAATCTAACTAGATTTTCCCAGGGACTAATAAATTTATTGATGAAACAGTACATCTTCTTGTGGCGCCAGAATGCTAACTCAGTCAACTGAAAGGGGATATAGATAAAACAGGAAAAAGAAAAAGAAAAGATCATAAAAGAACATACCCAATAGATATCTGTTAACCCGTTGAAATCCTTTGCTTGATTGTCCACGACTTGCGAATCAGACGGGCATTCATCCAAAGGGTCTCCACCAGTAGGATAATCCACAGGCCCCTCAATATCAGGTAGCTCCTGCAATGAGAGTACGATACATTACCTTTGATCAACCGTTTCTTCTACCTGACAATGGAATCACTTGAATAAAATACAAGTGTAAGAGAATACCTCAAGAAAGGCACCAGAGGCGATGGAGCTTGTTCTCTCCATCTGTTTGGCGACCGGAGAAGCAACAGAAAATGGAGTAGCAGCATCCTTATGGAGAGAATGATTCTTTTGAAAAGCGAAGGCATCACATGTTTCTTCACCATCCCAGATGGAAGATGTATGGGATGCCACTGAGGAAACAAATCCCATTTTGCTTTGATGCCTTGAGATATGTGCTGCAATTGCCGCATCAAATGAATCACAGCTGAATGGGATCTGCTGAACGCATTGATTGCTTTGAACAAAAGGTGGTTCAACACAGTTGAGATTTGGTTCATGAGGCAATTCTGATAGTAGATCTCCAATGCTAACATTGGTAAGACTATCAGCCCACTCTCCAGCAGACAGCACATTTACATTGCTCAATCTCAAGCCATCCTACGTATAAACAGATTAAAGCACACGTTCAAAAATGGAATAAAGTATATAGACACGTCATGACTGAAACATTTCAAAAGTCAACAATAGGTGATGCATATATTAAACAACACACAAGTTATATTAAAACCTAAATGGCCGAACCTCAATTTATGAATGAGACATGAATGGTGCATCAGTAAGTATGATATATAGAAGAAGAAAAAAGCAGTACAAAGTTACTTGAACTGAGATAGCATTCAACTGGATTAAAATCACAAGAAGCTGCAATTACCACATCTTCCAATTGTTGTGTGTTACTCCTGTCATCGGTCTCCTTTCTCTGACATGATATGTTTGCTGCAGGATCAAGGGACTTAACAAGACTATTTCTGGGTCTTGTGGCAATGAACTCATTTTTCTCATTGGTCACTCCAGCAGAATGAGGTGTAGAAGGATGATTATTGTTCATTGAAGTTGGGCGATCCCTACAGGGATCCTCAACAAACTGATCACTGGTTGATGGCTCAGATGTGGATACAGTCTCCATAGTCTTCCCTTTCTCATTATCTCCATCTGGAAGGCAGTTATATGTTGAAGGTGCTTGCAATGTTACAGACGCAAAGTTGGCATTGGAAAACCAGCCATACCTTTCGTTGAAAATGCACAAGTCAGTCATAGTAGGATCTAACATAGGATTTGCGTGTAAGTTCAAAAGAGAATTAGAAGAAACCTCAAGCGGAACACTGAAGGGCTGCCAATTGACAAGTATACATCGGCTGCACTGACAAGTGAGTCCTGTGTCCATCTCTGATAACCCAAGAGGTTATCTCTATTAACACCATAAGGGAAAAGCATTAGCTCTCCAAACGCAATAGTAGAATTGCCCCATTTCCGATTTAGATGTTCCAGTACTGATGAAATCTTTTTCCGAGTACTAAGCGTGAGTTCCAGGTGTGGATTATGCTTATCCTGCAATCAGATGAAAATACAATCACATCCTTTATATTTGAAACACTGCTCAACAACGAAAACTTCTTCTACATCAAAATTATCAAAATTATCAACATGATTTCTTTTTGTGCTCACCATTTCTAAGGCTCTGCGAGTACCATCATCAATCGGGAACAACTGGAGCTTAAGCTTCATATTAGTGTGTGCATTGCTCTCCACATAATGAAGTGAAGAAGCAGGCAAATGGGGCAGAACATTTTCAACAGAATCAAGACCCTTTTCACCTGGAAATGAAAGAATCAATTATGGCACTACAAATGGCAGTTCTTTCAAATTTTTTGATCAGGAATTGGTGAGGATCGGCCCCACCAGCCATACCTTGATCATGTTCAACCTCTTTATCAGTGGCTGTCCGTTCCAAATGCTCAGCAGCATCAGCAACCAAAGAAACCCCAGCAATTGCAGCTTTTTCCCATTTTTTATATGCAGCTGATGAGACTAGACCCAATGAGAATCAATTAACAATGTGATTGGCACAAAAGATCATGATTTCAAACCAAACAAAGTGAAACAATATTCATCCCATCATCTGAAAAATCAGGGTAACAGTAAAATCAAGAAACCAGAGATCCATAAAGGCCATCACCCAGTCATAATCCCACTTAAGTGGGGTATTGGAAGTAAGGATTTAGGAGCAGTCCTATTCTTCCGCAATTTTACAGAAAGTTGCGGCTTTTATGGTGTGCTGGTTGTTTCAAACAAATCCCAAACGCATGACCCATTTATAGTTCAAAAATGACAATAATAAGTTGTTCACTTTTTGTACAGATACTTTAAAGGATCATGCCTAGAATAATATCAAAGTAAAATTCAAGAGATGGAGGATAAATGTGGGAAAGTAAAGCATAAAAAGGATTTAAAATCCTACTATTAACATCCCTTTTGAGGGAAAACTTCTGTCTCCAGAACTGAGGAATCACCTGGTTTCCGCCTTTGCCTTGCCGGTTTCATTGCAGGTGAGTCTCCTTTATTGTTGTTGCGGATAACCCCCATATTAACATTGCGCTTCAATGATCCTTTTCCACTACCTAATTTTTGTATGTTTTGACTATCAACAAGGACAAGTTTAACAGTTCGAGTATCATGCCCTGATGCTCTATTCTGATTCGTGATAATACTAGGAGTTGTTGGAGAACCATTTTCCCCCTGTGAAGACCTTTTCTTTACATTCTTCCTTCGATCTTTCAAGAGTTGGTTCTCCTTCAAGGAAAGCATATACCAGTCAGTTGAGCATATCCAGTAGATCAATCAAGTTCATGATCAAGACAGCATAAATCTTTTCAAATATTGACAGGCTTGACTAACCAGAGCTTCGATAAATATCTTAAACCTTCGCGGTTTTAGATGAAGCTTTGAGGCTTTGCAACTATACTTTTCCAACAAAGACCACCTGTATAAAAAGTCAAAATTTGAATAAGGAAAACAAAACAATCCGAGACTGTGCAAGATGAAGCAGTCCAAGAGAAGAGTACAAATTTTGACAAACCATAATGCAGAATCCTCATCATTAACAGGATATGATATAAGTCCTTGATCCATGATGGCATTGAGGCCTATACACTATAACAAATTCCCCAAAGATTTTTAAGCCAGATGCACTCGACAAAGACAGGGAAATTATGAGAGTAGAAAAACCATTCACATGGTGTATTGGAATGCTTTACATTGGCTTCAATGCAGAACTAGAAAAATAATATGACATGTATTTGTTGATAGTATCACAAGCTTCCTTTTCTGATTATTTTTTTCACGTATCACTTCCCGAATTTATAATACATATTATAAAAAGAAAGGCAATTCAAACAGGATACAAGAAATATTACCATCGGAGCATTGCAGCATTTGTATCTTTAGAGTTTTTTGCATCTAGGCACAATCCTGGACCCAGCAATTTGTTCATACGCCTCACAAGACGATAGTAATAATGCCTGACCTGGAAATAAAAAATAAAAAAATAAATAGGCGAAAAGGAATACGATGAATACAAAACATAACTGGAAAAAAAGTTGGAGCTAAATCCTGCTGCAATTTACCTGATCCTTGTTTTTACTTTGAACATGGCGAGTAATTTTCTCAAAGTTCTGCAGTGAAAGCTCAGTATAGTTACTTAGGGAATAAAACAGAATTGAAAAACTTTTAATCCAAAGTGCATTCCAGCAATAACATGCCTTGCCAACTTGTCGTAATGCAGTGAAGAAACTTTCCTCTTCTTGACGCGTCCAAGCAGCCCATTGCCGGGTTGGTCTTTTCTCTGCATTCAGCACAAGAGCAACAATTACAGATAAAACTACCACTCCCAAATGGTGGTATATTCCGGCAGAACCTAAATTAGTTAAAAGTAAATACAACTATTAAAAGCAAAATAACATACCAGGCTGCCGTGGTTCAACACGATCTGGGGTAGATGATGCTACAACAGGATCTTCATCCTGAATTGAACTGTTTCCATGAAGCTGCCGCTCAGAGTCTAAGGAGACTTGTGCCTCCATCTCTATACTAAGAGCCTCAGAAAGAAGAATAAACACTTATGCACTTCAAAGTTTAATACTCTCCCTTTGACCTCCGACTCAATAAATGCTGTAACCCTTGCTGTGAAATCGAACAAGAACTCAACATAAAAATTAAGGAACAGATAAATCAATGAGATGACTATTTAATCCAAACCTCATTAACATAAAAAATGTAGGGAAAAACAACCACTCAATCTTTTTCAATCTTATGTTTTCCATGACCAGAACATAGGACTTGTTTTAATTGAATCCACAAATAAGAATTTGAATTCAACACATAATCAAGGTTAGAATAAGCTGCAATTTCGTTAAAATTGGTAGCCTTAGGCCATTTCCCAAGTTCAGAATTTGACAAGAAAATCCTGATGGACTAGAAATTCCACCTCCAGCAGCCACAAAACAGTAATTTCGCTTTTGAAAAAAACACTAATAATCAATCACATTAAATAAACTAAAGCGAGCATTTAAGCTTAGAAACTCCAATAGCAGAAACCCATTGAAAATGCAGCAAAATATCACACATTAGAAATTCAAATCACAAGTTTTCCAATTTTTTAAGATCCAAATTACCAGATTTTAAGCTAACACTGAAACCAACTAATCAAAGAAGTTACATCTATTAATCACTAAAAACCCACATAAGAAACCTCCTAAGATTAACGAAATTTTCCACCTTTATGCTTTTGCCCAATTTTTAACTGCGAAACAAAACTAGGGTTTCAAAAAATAGTGATCAATTTTGACCTTAAAATATGAAAAATTAAAGAATGAAACTAAGTTAATTTTGCAATACCTGAGAGAGAAATCGAAGAATCGAACAAAACCTACAACAGGAAAGCGCGAGCTCGTAGAAATTTTTGAACAAAGAAATTGAAACCGCAGAGAAAGCTTGCAAGAAAGAGAAGAGAAGGGAATTTTTCCTTTTTCCTTTTTTTTTTTTTTACTTTGGAGAAAAGAAAATAATAAAAATAAAAATAATTCAAAGTTAAGTTTATTTGCCAGATAGTTAATTTCAAAGATAAATATAAATATCCATATAATAAAAAAGATTCAAAGCAGAAGAGTTTAGTCTTAAAGACTTAAACTATGGGTTAGGAAAAAAAGTTGTCAGCTTGACCTAAAAATTAGTATCAATATTTTTATCTGAAAAAAAAACGTGACCTAATATTACCCTACCACCTTATTGCGTACGTGGCATGGATTCATTCTATACGTGGCACTCAATTTTTTAACCAAAATTATAATTATCTATATTTTTTAAAAAATATATTATTTTGTTAAATACATTATATATTATTATGATTACACATAAGAATGCAGCAATCAATTCTTATAACAACTTCAAGACACTTGTCCTTGTTTCTAATGTTAAATACATTGTTTGTCACCTGGACATATATGTCTTCGTTTGATATTTTCTGTCCCGAAACATCCAAAAAAAGGTTAAAAGTAAATGACATGCTCCTTGTCACATTAACCATATTCCTAGAAGAAAAGGTGAAAAAGCATCCTCCTTTTGAGGAAAGGCACCTGAAACCATATTTATGTTTATAAAAAGATAGAGTTCAAAAAGAACATTAAGGTTTTATGTATGGCGTTTGCCTGGCGAGCCTTTTATTGGTGGACAAGCAATGTTGCTCCTTTCCTTTAGAGGAAGTAAAGCCTTCTTTGCCTTCCATGGCAAGTGTTGATGGCCACACAAAAATGAAAGGGAATTTTATAGATTATTATTGCATTATGACAATAAAGGGGGCAATGAATAAAAATTAATACTGCCAATATTGAACAAGTTACAGGTCCAAAGTGAACACCAGCTGATAGGAACTGTTTCTTTGTTTCATGTTCAAGCTTCTATGACCTTAAGACAAAGAGCCAAGGATAAAGAAGATGCACCCATTGCCGTCCTTGCTTTTCCTATTTTATGGGGGCAAAGCTGAGAATTTTTAATGCTGTTAGCAATTAGCAACAGCTTCCAAGGCCCTTTTGTTTTCAGTACCTGCCTGCCTTTGCACGCCAATTTGTAGGTTAACGAAAGCAAATGCCATCCAACTATTTTTTACCGAGTATGATGCTCTATGTTCTTGTAATTCATAAGAGTTAACCTGTACACCATTTTCCTCCGCAATTCATTATCCACAGAATGGAGTAAACAAACTTCTAGAAAGATGACATTAGCCTCTTGGCTCTCCGTGGCCACAAGAATTCCATCAATTTATTTGGTGTGGGGCGGGGCAAGGTTGCAAGCTTCATAACTGAGAGCGTGAACAATATTCTTATCCACAAGGATTTATATTCTAAGCAATGCTGCATCACTTGTAGAGCAAATGATCTTCGAGAAGTATAATGGTATCCCAACTGCATCCTGGTATGTGATATAACTAGTGTTTACTCACCAGCTACTGCAACGTCATTTGATACCGGTGATTTGGAAAGCATCAATCTGTACATTGGATACCCACGATCAATAACATGTTGCTCCCAATCTGACATAACTCCAAATGGGTTCTCTTCAAACCATGCCCTTCGATTCATTTTTGCATGGTGTTGATCATTCCATAGAGTGAGCTTGCCCTTGCCATTTTTGAGAAAAAGTTCTTTCATTCTCACAGCGACTGCTTCTATGTCAGATTGCAGGAAAACCTGGGGCAAGAAATTCAAGAATAGCAAGTGCATAACATTAATAAGCCGAAGTAAGCAGCATTGCATGCATTGTGATATAAGCTAACAAATCGAATAATGAGGAACTGGCTATGCAATATCAGAAACAGAAGCTGCAATAACTTTGTGTTACCTTCCCATCATGTGCCAGAAGATCTACCACTGCTTCAATCAATGACCTTTGCAGCATTCTCCATCTATGTTCTGGTTTGTTAAAATCAGGGTTCGGACACTGAACAAGGTGATAAAGGTTGTTCTTATGTTGTGGCAAGGATGTTGAGTCTCAGCAATTAATTAAAAACAAGGAATAAAACTACTAGCCAAGTTGTCTAATTTGCAATTATATTGGATTACTGAGCTACTTTTATTGCATCTACAAGGAGCGTAAGTGATTTCTTAAGGAGAATAGAATCCATAAAATAATCTGAAATTACTACCAAGGAGACGAAAGTGACCAGAGGAATGCAGCAGCAACTATCGTTGGTATTTGATGATGGTAAATGGCAATACACCAAAATATCAGCGATGATCGCATTGTGGTGAAATAAGGTCAGGCAACAATTTTGTTCAAATGGAAGTTTAAAATTTCTTCACACGGCAAATTAGAATACGTCATCTAAATGGTTTAGAAGTTTATCTAAATCTCCATAAATTCATGCCTAAAGGGAGTAGGCAAGAATGAGTTAATAACAAATACACAGAAAGAAAAGGATCCTACAGATTGATAGTCAGACAGAATATTGTATCCTCTACCTGTATCGAAACAAGGACCAACTCTCCCGGGTAACTAGAAACTATGGACCGAAATGTTGACGTAGCATTTGTTGCAATGAAGTACCTGACACACAGAACAAAAGAAACAGATGAGACAATAACATCAATCCAGAGATAATAAGACAAATTTTTACCTGCACAGTTTTATTTCCTTAATTATTGGCAATATTTGTACATATGCCTATCCCTACTCTTTTTCCATGAGTTAATAAAATCTCAGGGCCACTAGCAATAGAAAGTTAATATCAATAATCAAGAACAATGTGGAAAGTCTCCATATTATTTCCAGTCAGTACTCATTAAAATGCCAAGAGATCTTTCAAAAGTTCAATAAGTACATGAAAATCCACTCCGCAAACTCCCACACGTGAAACAAGTATAAGCAAAAGTTCATTTCGAAAATTAAGCATTCAAGAGCATTACATATGCCTTTCTTCTATACAGCAGGGATTCAATAATCTTAAGCAATCACAATTTTGTCAAAAACAAAAATAACAATTCCCCTACCATCAGATTCACATTGAAAAATACATTGCTTAGCCATGATGATGGGAATATGCTAGTTCAAACAAAAATCTAATCTAATTTAAATGCACAATGATTTACAAAGATGTCATCAACATCCCAGTTGGACAAAACTCTATGTGAAAGCATCATTATTCTTAGTCTATTGTTTCTTATCATCAATGTGCAAATCTTCGCAGAAGACAAGGACCATACCCATTCCGAATGCCATAATGATGAACAGAATCCATACAGCGTCTAACAAGCTAAAGAAGGGGCAAAAAAAATAAAATAAATAAAAGACAGAAGTAAGAAATTTTGAATCAAAGAGGAAAGACAGAGAAATAAAGGGAAAAGGAATCGAGAAGAACAATAACCTTTGTATTAATTTCTAGACCAAGAAAATTCAAATCCTTTCTTCTTCTAGCCATCCCCAAAAGAAATAACCCACTACCTGCCATTTTTAATCATAAGTTTGAAAGAACCATAATTGCATACTCTCTCTGTCACACACAGACACACATTCCCACAACCTGAGCATGTCGTAGTTTTGTCTTATTAGTAAAATTTGGTGTTTGTTTTACTGTAGTTTCTCTGCATAGAAACTTGAAAGCATCCCAATGCATCATTTTCTGTTCAATACTTCACCCATGTTTCACAACAGATAAGGGCAAATCAAACTGATTATGAAATACCATTTCAAATGCCAACTACTCAATCTCAAATATATTTCAACATTTAGAGTAACAAATATGAGGAAATCAAATAGTAGGAAGAGAGAGGAAAATATACCACTTCCAATATCAACCACCAATGGTTGAGCTGGGTTACTGTAGGCAGACTTCCAATCGATCTCAAATGGGTATGCCTGCACAAAGCATCAAATGAACAATGCCCAAGAACAGCATCACATAAAGCTGAACGCATTAATGTCTTTGGACCCTTCAAGCGAGAATGGGTGGGATATATCTCTTGAATACTTAAGTGAGGATATTATGCATCCATGAAACTGATTTTTATCAAACTGCAAGAAGTGATGGGCCTGTTAAATTATATTCTTTAACACTATCCAAATAAAAGTGAACTGTGATGGTTCCGAAAAACTCCCCTCAATGAGAGCGCAACAGCTATACTCTTTTGCATGGTTTCATTTAGGAAAATTCTCATTTTAGTTTCAATTACTACAGTAAAAAATAAATAGTGAAGTTGATGGAACATACCCTATCTAAGGCCATGACCCCAGGAAGTGTTCTTCCTTTGAAAAATTCCCACACCACTGAAGCATTTTCAATCATGTCATTAACCAAGATGGACTTTGATTCCATCACCATAGCTTTGCATGCCATATTCCCCACCACTGTGATATCACAATTTCTTTGACTTAGTTCATTAAGTGTTTGAGCCAATTTAGATGCTCCGTCTGCACATTGACCTGAGAACTTGAATTTCACAGGACCAATCCATAGAATTTTCTGTAATACAAGCAAAAAAATCAGTTAAGTCTGATAGTAATCAACAATGAGCAGCCAATTAAAAGCAAAATGCAACATATCCAAGAACAAAATTCCACAACTAATATTGGCTTTAAAAACAGAAGTGTCATCAATTGATACAAAAGTGTCCAATATGATTTATTTATTTCATGACGACCAATATATATATAGAAACTCCAGCTTGAACTAGTAAATTGAAAAAAAAAAAAACTTCTGTGCCTTGACTCTCAATGCAATGCCAACAAAAGTAAATTTGTATAAAGAGGTAAGATAATATAAAATGAACAGAGCTAAATAGATAGAAATATAATGTGTCAAAGTTTTCTATCTTCGGTTTCTACATAATTAGATGAATTAAAATGCTTCTCATGATAGTAAATGAAAGCTATAGCTAATGGATCACCTATGCACTCCTTTTTACCTTGCATTTCACTAGTACAGAGTTTAATTCATCCAATGACCTAGGACCGAGATCAACAGGTAGCCAACCTAAAATAGAAGGAACATCAGATATTTCAAATGCAGAAGTTATTACATCTAAGAATGGTCAATAGTAACAATTTATAATCTGGAGTAATCAAACATACAAATTGAAAAGGAGCTGCATTGATTGTGGTAACATTTGGAACAACACTATCACAGAAGGATGCACCAGACACATCAACTCTATATTATAATAATGCATTACAGTTCTATGTGTTACTGATTAGACAAGTATATAACACATAATACTTACAGGGATGGACCACAAACACTTTTTTATAACTTTCTCATGTGATATGCAGCCACTAGAATAACTGAAAGAGCAATCAAGTAAGACAATAAGGAAAGTTCAAAAAGGAAGATAGTTTCAAATGCTAACTCTACCTCCTCAAAGGCAGTGTAAAAACTGCGACAATTATAGCACTTTTGATGAAGGTTTGATAATTGCAGAAAGAACTGCTGACAATCAAAATTTCCAGAGTAACAGGTTGAGGCATATATTGGAAAAATATTGAGGTAGGACACCAAATTACCAAACCAAATATAACTTCAAGGGCATGGATATTAAATCATTGAAATAAAAGACAGATATAAAGACAAAACATGTAACAATTTTGGGTAAAATCTCACCATCCAAAATGCGATGAGAAGGAAATTTTCTCATTTTCTCTGGAAGATGCTCATTCATGCACCAAAAATCTTTGGGATATAGAATAGGAATGTTTCTATCATGTGCAAATTGGATTATATCTAAAGCTGCTTGATATGCCCCAGGTTCTACCAGATTTGAAGGAATAGAAAGGCCCAAAGCATGCATTATTTGGAATGACATCATCCCAAGGAAGACCAGTCCATCACATCTGGAAACTAAAAAACTCAATGCAGCTGCTTTGTCATGGAGATTAGCCCCTCCAATCTATATCAGATAAGAGAACGCTAGCAATAAGTGAAGAATAAAAGAAAGCATACATAAGGTAGGATTCACTTAAAGGGGCGATGCAACTTTTATCAAACTAAAGAAGCTAAATGAAATATGTTTGTAGCAGTAGAGACATACAATTGCAACGTATGGTCTTTTGTTAGTTCTTGCAGCCTTCTTCAGCTGACAAAGGCTCTCTTCAAAGTGAAAACCAGCCATACAAGCAGAACAAAAACGAGCAATGCCAACTGTTGATGCAAGTATTTTATGAGACTGAGAAAAGGAATCGTTAACAAAAATATCAACTCCTGATGATAATAGTTCAGCAAACTTTGAACAATTGGCAACTTCCTCTTTGAACTTTGAAAGGTTCTCAATAAGGAATATATCTTCTTTCTTCAGGACTTCCATTTTTGGCAACACATCAGAATAATTGCATTTAATGGCAACAACTTTGTGTTGGATAACTGATGATAAAATATCTGGAACAAAGAGATTGTCGTGAATTATTTCTGAAGTTGTTCACGCCCATATTAGACAGATCCTACACTGTGAAGCAATCTCTTTGAAATGCTCTAAGAATCATACCTGCAACAGACTCGACATTAACAAGCTTTGAATTAGTTTTCTTCCTCCAATCACTCACCAGAATTATTTTTGCTCCAGCTTCATGTAAATATTTAATTGTGAAAACTGCACTTGAGACAGATTGAGAGCTCCAGTCCAGATCTTCTTCCCTAAGTAAATTGGTGCTATCAAATCTGACCATGACCACTTTTTCCACCAGCTCCTTCTTAGGAAACTTTCTAAGAGTTTGTATGTGTGGGAAAGGCTCCATTTCCCCTTCATCGCAACAATTAGCCTAAGAGCAAAGCCCAGTTGAGGGTTACAATTACATTAATATCTCAGCCAACCAACAAGCAAAAACAGTTTTTATTTTTTTTAAAGAATATTTAGCCAAACTAAGCCAATGCATCATCCAAATATGACTTAACTACCTGCTCATACCATATAACATTAAGGTGTCTGGCGTTTTCGTCTATCATTGGCATTGAATTGTTTCAACTAAAAGTTCAAACAAAAGATGAGAAGCCAGTTGAACAGGAATCACAAAAACAGTTCAGCTCAAATAAATAAAACAAACATTTTCTGTAAATTTGGAAAGTGGTATCCCATTAGGAACGCCAACTAAAATTTCATGAATACAAACACAAACGTTTTATGAGGTGGCTTATTGAGATAGTAATCTTCATGTCCCAAAATCATATCATGTAATGGCTTCACAAGAAATTACACAATCTAACCTTTCAATAATGGTCAATTGATGAGAATATATAGTTGTTTACTATTAGACAGACAACCGCTTATATTTTTTAACTCCTGTTAAATCATCAATTTGGTCAGGTACATAAAAGAATTACTGCCTCGATAAAAGATTAAAAAGCTAATTATCAGTACTAAAAGAAAAAGCTAATTGTTAGAAACTAGTCCATTCTGGAAAGAGAACTTGTCAATAAGGGAACATAAGCTAGATTTCCCGGTACCTTAAATTCATTAGAGCTGTTGACACGATCCTTTACCTCTAAACCACCTGCCAAGACATTAAATTAAACTTTAAAAAGAAAAATCAGACAGCCACATGAAACAAAAGATAAAATGTTAAATGTTAGTACTAGTGTACATATTTTTCTAAAAAAGCAAGGAACCTTGTAAAGATGATCGAACACTACGAAATTTCCAAAGTTTGGCAGTCTTCCTTCTAAAGAATGAACATGATTTTGGTTGATGAAACTCTGATGTTTTGGTAGGAAAGCCATAAAATGTTAAATTGTTTAATAACAATAGAGTTCCTTCCACTGAATTCAGAAGTTGACCCATTTCTCCTCCTTTACCCGCCTCTTCATTAAGTTACGGAGCAGCAGAACAACTGTCAGCACAAAAATGATAAAATGTTAATTAAATTGGAAGAAAATTTAACCTAAAAGAAACCCCAAAAGGAGATAAAAAAAGGAAAAAGGATACATTAAAGAACTAGAGAAAGAGAAGACCCTCACGGAACCATGGCAGGCCTGTCTATGTTTATCTTCTATATAGACATGCTCGCTGCTAGACTGCTGCTGCTACCAGTGGTCTTAAAATGCAAGAAGGGTTTAATACGGTGCGTATTTACTCTGGCATGCTGAGATAGAGTGGTTAAAAAAAGGGTGTAAAAAAGGTGCTTTTTATGTATAACGTATTACCACAACAACGTCGTGTCGTTTGTTTTATAAAACGACAAGGAGAACGTAAAAACTAGAGCAAAAAATTAAAAAAACACAAATCTGAAACCCTCTCTCTGTCTCTGATTTGTTTGCTTCGCCGAGAGGAGGAGGAGGAGAAGAGTGCTTGGAGCAGCTTGGCTAGCAAGAGCAACTTGGTTAAACTAATATATTGTGCCTATAAGGGAGATAAGGGAGATCGGCTACGTAGTTAATAAAAGAACCAAAAAATGGGTTTTTCTCTAGGAGTCGTGATTGGAGCGGTTGGAGTCTTGATTCTCTCCCATGCCGCTTATGCAACCAGTCAGTGTATGTAAATCATACTCTTTCTCTCTCTCTCTCTCTCTCGAATCTCTTTGCTTTTTTGATTTTTTTTTTTAAATTCTGTTTAATTGTGATGGATGGTGATGATGATGCAGATAGGGGTTTGTTGAAGATTACAGAGGATGATTTTTCTGGGCCTCCTTTCAATGTATCATATCTATCCATCTATCTGCTTTTCTCTTTATTTTTTTCCCTTACAATGCAATTTTTTGTTTTTATCTTGTTTTGGGTGCTTGTGCAGGTGGTGGTAGAGTTGATTGTGGGGCTGGTTTTGTGTATGTGGGCAGCATTAGCTGTGCCTGGCGACTTCCTCTCTATTCATCCTCATTCTGATGAGAATAGGTAACTAATTCTCTCTCTCTCTCTCTCTCTTTAATATCTCTCTCCCAATTTTGTCAATTGGGATTTCTTTCTATTGATTTTCAACTGAAAAAAGTACTGTGTATAACGTTTATTGGGTTTTTCCGCAATCTAAGAAATTAATAGATCATTTAACTTTGAAGCTTAAAAAGAGAAAGAAACTCCAGTTAAATAACTTTGAAAATAATTTTGTTTTTAAAAGATTGATTTACACAGGGCCGATAGGGGTAATTCAGTGTCAAGTGATCAGATTGCAAGAAATTGAGAATAATAATAATAATATGAAAAGAGACTGATTCAGTTAGAGTAGATATGAGTATATCTGACTCTCAGTTAATGAGGTAGTCAGGTTCCCTTTAAGGAGTGTGTGTTATGCATTACTTCGCAAATTTTATATGTATTAGCTTGAAATAAATGGCCGCTGAAGTTGTTTTTTTCCTTCAGGAAAGGATGTTGTCCTTTCATTTGTAAACGGGAATATTGTAAACTTCTATCTGAAGTATTCTTTCATTGAGTTGGTTCTAGTTTTCCTCGAGTTGTTGATACATGGTATCCTGATTAATGTGCAAATTAAGAAAAAGAGCTTGCACTGGGAGGCTTCAATGAACCCATACTGCATAACTTTTAGTCATTTAGTCCCTCCAGAGGCATGTTTGCTTGCTTAGTCTTGCTAGTTGTGGCACTTATTTCTGAAGGTTTCTTTCCTTTGGGTGCCATGCAAACGCTATTCCCGTTGTGTGTTTAAAAACTCATGCAGGACACTATTCTTTGCAACTTCTGGTGTACAGTGTTATCATTTTCACTTTTTATTGAAAATGTCAAACTTAGATTAGGTATAATTTAGCTACCTGTTAGCATATTTTCTAGTAGTTATCTGGTAAATATCATTTTTTTTTTAAGTCACCAGAGGGTCCAGAATTTTCCTGAATGAAATTGAAGACAAACTATTAAATTGTTTTATTCCTTCTGGCTTATCATCTTCTGAATCTTGAAGATGCTGTTTAAATTTGCCATCCCCTTCCAGTAATGTTAACGGTATAATATAATAATTGTATCCATTTGACCTAAAAATATTCCTGTTGATTCTTGCCACGTGATATGCATAGTTCATGGTAAATCAAGGGTCCATTGATTGGTCTGCTGGACAGGGCCTTTGTATCTTGTATATCATGACTTGATAATTAAGAAACATTATGAAAATCCTTAAGGATTCTTAATTGGGCCGTTGTACCTTTGTATAGCATGAATACATTCTGAATTGATTATTAAATATCTTAGGAATTCTACACTGAACTGTAGATTACCACTTCTTCATCATCATTTATATATTTTCTCTACAGTGTGCCCTGGGGAGCATAATTATGTCCATGTATTTTATAAGTTTTCTTGAGTGAAGAGTTCACTGTACAAGGGACTAAATCAAACTAAAATTTGCTTGACAAGCAAGAGGAGGCTTTTGATCTTTATGAAGCCTTGACTGTGGCAATGGTCTCATGGCTTGCTACTTGTTTTATTGGGCTAGATTGATCTGAAGTTAACTTAGACAGAGGCTTGGTGTTGCAAGTAATAGATGAAAATGTAAACCAGTAAGAAGAAAGAAATAAAGAAAAAACCATAGAGAAACCAAGTCAGTGTTGGGACTGGAACATGTCAGCCTTTTTTTCTGACTTTCGTGTTTCCTTGAGCCATAAAAGAGAGGTGTTCTTATCTAGATTTTGGGTGGTTCAAGATCAAGGCACAGCGGTTGTTTTCTTCCTCATTTTACCAGGGTTTTTTGGTTGTACTTACTTGGGTGTGTTCCAAAACTTAGTTAGTTATAGAGCCATTGGTAGATATCTTGTCAATTATCCCCCATAGGTTTCCATCTTTAGATGGTTTTATGCAAATTGCTTGTGCCCTCTGCTTGGACGCTTGTTTTGTTATTGTGTTGCATCGTAGTTGATTTCTTTTATCTGCTAATTATTGCTTGAAGATAGTGTTCAATTGGTGGCTTTGGTGATAGCTTAATTAGCAAAGTAAATGATGAACACATTGAATAATGATGCATAAAAGACGGAACATTTTAGATTTAAGTAGTAAATGCAAGCAATTTGGAAAACCTTTAAATAGGGAAAACCACAAGGCATATAATGCGGATTCAGTAATTGATGAAATTAAGAATTGAAAAGAATTACAATTGTAATCCCTTAAAGACCACAAGGAATCTAGTGGATATACATCAATGGCTTCCCAACTAACAAAGTTGAAAAACACACATCCTATAAAGAGTAGAAGTACAAATCCCTCGTAGAATGGAACAAAACAACCCTTGGATCTTGTCTCTGAACCCACCCACCCCTCAACAGCCCTTTTTGGCATGAGAAAAAACACTGCCTGAAGGCCAAGGCAGCTCTTTGTTGTCTAGTAAAAATCTGTCCTCTTCACAATTGTTTTTTAGCTGCTACTTAGAATAGCCCAGACTAAGTAATAGGCTGAACATGGCCAATTACCCTCTGTCAAATTTCGTGCTCCTTAAAGGATATGCTTTAGTTGTGTTACTTGATTGTTTCTATCTTCATATGCACTGGAGAGGTGAATTATACCAAACGTAACTGATAGTAATGTTATTTTTACAAAATAATGGGCCTTTGACATTATTCATGTATTCTTCAATGCAGGATCGTTTCGTTGCCAGACAACCTGGATTTCATGATCTTCAACCACCGTGGAAAAGTATTCGTTCCAGAAATCAACATGAGATTGAAACGTTAAGGTCATTTAAGAAATGGAAGGTTCACGTCGAACTTATTTGAGGAGATTAATGTTTCTTAATCTCGTTAACACTCCGAAAGAGAACTCCGTCAACTCAATAGTGTTACTGTCAAGTTGTTAGGATACATAATTATGATTTTCCCTTTGGATTTGTACTAGTCTTGTAGTTCTCATCATGGTCATGCAACTTGAACTTGGTTGATGTGTTTTTCACCATTCACATTTGAGTTATGTATTTGGATTCAGGCAGGGCATATGCTTGAATAATGAATTATGACAAAGGGATAATTTTTCCCTGACGTTGCTTCTGTTTGTTTATTATCAATCCCCTCGTACAGGAATTGTTACCATGTTGATATGCAGGGAAATCAAAAGATGGCATGGGGATACTGGTTTTAGCGGTAACTTTATCCTTTTGTAACAGGTTTGCGTGGGTTAATCTTGTCTCAGTATGCAGTTGATTAACTGGAGGAATGGCGTCATCCTTCTCAAACAACCTTAATGGCTTTCCCAACTCTCTCATGGAATAACTTTTCTGCATATAAATTAGTCTCTTGGTCCTGATATCCTCTTTGTTGCATGAGTTTGTAGTTTTCCAACTTTAGCAACTTGATTCTGGCATTAAATCCAAATAACCAAAGCTATATCTAAAAGTACAAGCTACAATTGACCAAAATTTCTTGTGCACATGCGGTTTCTCTCACCAACTATCACTGTATAAACTTCCTAAAAGTCGACTTCCAACTGATCAAATTTACAGCGGATTAAATTTAATAAACATTTGTCAGCGCAACCCTTTTCCACACAGTGCCATTGATTATAAAGACATTACTATTCAGACGCTGCAGAGTTGGTTTCTGGGAAAGCAACTATGTCTGGGAATCTTTAGAGTAGCCAGATAAAGGCACTGAATTACCTCACCCTGTAATCTGAATGTAGGAACATACTGGAATGGGGGAACTGTTTTAACAAACACACAGCAATTATATCTTAGTTCTATAACAAAATATCATTTGCCCATATGCACGCTTTTTTGTGTATAGGCAAGCAACTTACCATCCCCGAGTTATTTGAGACATTAAATCAAACAAAATGGTTCTCCACAGCACAACATTACACTAATCAGCACGGTCTGGATTGATGGCCTCAAAGCAAAATTTCACTTCTTACAAATAACAATGACATTGCACTCGACAGCCCTAACCAGCTTTTATTCCCAGCTGGGTTGTCAAAGAGAGGATGAAAGCAGAGGATGACTACATCACCAAGTGATTCAATCCAAATTCCTCTCCTACCGCATCTAATTTGACAAATAGAGGATATGAAAGATGGCTTAAATCAAACTTCTACATCTCCTAGTTTCAAAATGTACTGAGAACATCAAGGCCTAAAGTCGGTGATTTTGTAATAGGGTTTGCTACGTAGAACAGAAACGAACGATAGCTCACCTGTGATATATAGCAGAATTACATACAATTGCTTTAAAAAAAAAAGAAGAAGAAAAATTCTCAACAGGTATAAACTTGCGCTTGTTACAGCCTCATCCAACCCAACATCATCCACTTAAATTCAATCTTAGAAGACTTATAAATTTTCACTGCATCAACTTTTGAGTCATATTTATCATGTTTTTTTCCTTCTTGCGATACGATGGTCCTTCTAAGTTAGGTTTCTATTAAAAACATTCCTTACACAGGCACACAATGGTGGTGATAAAACCTTCCTCATAAAACAGATATCTTATCCTCATAAAAACTTAAGCATAAAACGTTCACTGCAAGAAAATTTTGTAATGGCATTAAGGTGCTTAAGTGGAAATGCGCTGTATCCTAAGTAGAATTTTTCTTTGCACGTCCAAAGACAGAATATAGAGAATAATGGCCAGAAGCAAAGAGCAAATTTTGTCCAACCCACAATAAAATTCAATGCAATGATACAACATCTAACGACAGAACAAAGTAGCACAAACTTCCCCGTCAAAGAATCAGTTGAGACTAAAGCTAAAGTAACATAAACACAAGCATTGTCATACCTCAAAAATTGTTAGTAGGCTTGCATGGGACACTCAAAGCAGAATCTCATAATATCCATGCAGGAACAACAAATATGCCCCTGAAATAATTAGAGAACCAATGGCCCCTACTAAAACCAACTTCTGAATAAGCCAGTCAGTCAAGAAATTAGTTTACAGCTGTGTAAGTTCTTGTGGGTTTTCCATTGACTGCCTAAGTATATACTCTGCTCTCCTCTTCTTGTCATCCCTCTCATCATCCCGCCCCAACCAATACCCCGTTCTCCCCTCACCCTTCTTTGAAAGACTCAGATCCAAAGACTCTCCTAACAACTTCTTCCCAGTCTTAAACTTAAAAGCCACAGCAGGCCTCTTCTCAGGTAGTGTCTTCCTCTCAACATCTCCATCATCACAAATCCCGCCTTCCTTTGCTGCTTCAATAACAGGTGCAAATGCCTCCATCACAGAAAAATGATTTTTTAGCTTATCTGGCAACACAACTGGAGAAACATCCTTCTTCCCAGACTCCAATGGCATGGCAAGAAACTGATTACTCTCAACTACTCCTAAATCTTTCACATTATTACTAACCCCCGAGGATGAAGCCCCTGCTGAGGCATTACTCAACAACCTCTGCTGCAAACTCAACAAAGCCCTCTCTGCCTTTCTCCTTTGTCTGGCTTGCTCAATCTTTTCTGCACGAGGATCCACAGCCCTCTCATTCCACATAGGTGTATGGAAATACGTGTGAGGATCAGGCAAGGCTGGCAACCATGCCGGAATATGCTTCCCAGGTGGCGCTTCACTCATTTTTTCAAAACTAGGAATTAACTTTCTATCCCTAATAACAGGAAAACTCGGGACCGGTTGCACAAACGGAATCTCATCATTAGAACCCACAAAGTCAATAATTTCTTTAATCGTACCAGAATTAACAAGACAATTACCAGAACTGGACGCACCTAAAAACCCTTGTGAAGTTCCTATTACATCTTCAAAACTCCTAACTATATCAAAGAAATTACATTGGGTTCTACCTGACAAATTGGCATAGTAGCTTGCGGTCTTGCCTAGGTCACAGAGGTATCGGATTGTGATATCATTGAGAGAATCCAAAGCAGATTCCTTGAACCCATGAAAGCCGACGCTCTCACATATCTGCGCCACTGCCATTCTTGATACAGCGCGACCAAATTCATCGGATTTGGGTCTTCCCGATGTACTCTCTTCACCTCCATTGCTCATATTTGAACCCTCATGTCAAAAAATTAGGGCTTTTTAAAATCCAACACCATTTCACCCCATAAATCAGTGATTCTTAAATTTAACCATAGATTATACGACGAGGAAAGAACCATAAGAGAAGAGAAATATTGTTTTCTCTCTTTTCTACCCTAGTTTTCTCAGGAAACAACAGAACGATACAACCCTAATCTAAAAAGGAAGCAGTGATTTGAGCAAAAAATTGTAATTGTTCTATAAGAAAGACAGAATTGAAAAAACCCACAAATCAATTAGAGAATTGACAAAGAAAAATTGGATATTAAAGCAAGAATTAGGGTGCGTAGATTTTTGATTATTTTGATAAACCCTACAGAAAGTATTAAAAAGAAAAAAGAAAGAAAGAAAAAGGGTTTTAGTGGGTTTAGGGTAATTGTAGAGAAAGGGAATTTTCGTATTTTTTGGAGGGAAATTGGAGGATTGAAAAACAGGTCGAAAGGAAGTTAGGGATCGAGAGAGAGAGAGAGAGAGAGAGAGAGGAGATGATATTTAGAGGAGAAGGATGCGAGTATGGTTGGGTTCATTTATAGAACTCTTGCTAATTTGGTTTAACCAATCAGACGACAACTTCTCTGCTGTGCTTACACAGCCGCTCGAGTATGGTTGGCTTATTACTCGCTTACATTTCATACTAAATGGGCTACTTCTAGTGGGTCCTTTTTAACGACAGTACGCTGTGGTTCGAAAATATTAAAAACTTCAATTTAAATTTAAATAGCCAAATTCTAATTATATGATTTTTTTAAAAAATATATATATTTTTTACAAACAGTCATTATTAGTAAATATGTGATGTTTTGGATAATTGAATTGAATTTCCAATTTGTTTGTGAGCAAAATTATAATGTTTTAAGGATGGGTTTCGAAATATTTTAATCGAATTGAAATATCAATTTAATTCAAAAATACTTAGGTGTTGTTTGATAATAAAAAATAGAGTGGTGAAAATGATAATGAGAATAAAAATTTTATTTTCATATTATAGTTGTTTGGTTAAAATGAATGAAGAGAGAATGTAAATAAAGAATGGGAATATGAATGAAAATTACACACAATTTCATTCTTATTTAAGTCGTGAGAATAAAAATAAGAAATGAGAGATAATTTTTTTTAAATAATAATATATTTTATTTATTTATTATCTATTAATTATTTTTACCACTACCAATATGCCTTGATGGATAAATCGTTGATAGCGTCAAATTTATGGAGAAGCAAAATCCATTGAATTCTCAATAAAGGACAAAACATGATACATGCCTTTAATCTGTTTTTGTTATGAAAAAATAGAAATAATGGGAGACTTGAAGGAAATGATTACAAGAAAAGAATTCACTATAAAGTTAATATAAGTGATAAGAACCTCAAATTATTCTTTTAATCTTTTATAGAACTCGTACATCAACTAATGAACAATCAAGCTTATTTATGGGCTTCAAAATTGAGATGAGAATTGGAAGGAACTATGAATAATTAAAAGTACATCAATTGCATCACCTTTTCAATTTCTCATATTGAATGATGAATTGAATCACATTAAGAATCATGAGTAGTGGGGATATGAAAAGAGATGGATATTCATTATTTCATAACAATCTCCTCGAATATCTATCGTACAAGGAACATGCCTCGTTAAAACCTTATTAGGAAAAAACCCAGTGGGAAAAAATTCTAGTGAAGGAAATAAAGCATAGTATTCCTTGCACACATTAATCCTCATTTTTTGTCTCCCCGTTAAAGACGTTATTTAAGATCTCTAAGACAATACATTTCAATATTCTGAATCATCTTCTCAAAAGTTTTGATAGGTAATGCTTTAGTTAACAAATCTGCTGAATTGTCACTTGATCAAATTTATTGAACATTAATATCACCATTTCTTTGAAGATCACGTGTGAAAAGTAATTTTGGTGATATATGCTTCGTTTTTTCACCTTTGATGTATCATTCATTTAATTGAGCTATGCAAGCGTATTATCTTCATACAAGACTCGTTGGAACTTCCTCGCCAGTGGATAAACCGCATGTCTCTCGAATACGATGGGTCATTGATCTTAACCAAATACATTCTCGACTTGCCTCATGAATTGCTAATATTTCGCATGGTTTGAAGATGTGGCGGCTATAATTTACTTTATAGAACAACATGATATAGCTATATCTCCATATGTAAATACATAACCGAGTTTGAGATCGAGCTTTGTGTGGATCGGATAAATAACCTACATTTGCATAACCAATTAATCCGAGTTTTTGATTTGTTAGAGTAATATAAGCCCATATCAATTGTTTCTCGAAGATAACGTAGTATATGTTTAATTCTATTCTAACATCACCGTGTTGGAGCAGAATTATATCTTGCTGATAAATTTATAGAAAATGCCATATCGAGTCGAGTACTATTAACAAAATACATTAATGCACCAATTGCACTAAGGTATGGTACTTAGGACCAATAAGTTCTTTGTTATCTTCTCTAGGTTGAAAATTGTCCTTTTGAACATCAAGTGAACGAACTACAATTGGACTAGTCAATGGATGAGCCTTATACATGTAGAATCTTTGTAGTACTTTTTCTATATAGGTTGATCGATGAATAAAAATTCTATCTTTTAAATGTTCGAACTACGGACCAAAATAAAATTTTGTTTTTCCAAGACCTTTCATATCAAATTCTCTTTTTAAATAATTTATGGCACTTAAAATCTTTTCGGGAGTTCCAATTATATTTAAATCATCAACATATACAACAATTATCACAAACCCCTTTTCGAATTTCTTTATAAAGACACATGGACAAATTGAGTTATTTTTATAACTTTCTTTTAATAAATAATCACTAAGATGATTATACCACATGCGTCTAGATTATTTCAATCCATATAGAGATCTTTGTAATTTAATCGAATATATCTCTCGAGAAAGTATTTTATATGCTTCGGGCATTTTAAATCCTTCCGGAACTTTCATATAGATATCATTATTAAGTAAACCATATAAATAGGTCGTGATCATATCTATTAAATGAATATGAAGTTTATCACATGCTGTCAAGTTAATAAGATAACGAAATGTAATTGCATCTATTACGGAAGAATATGTCTCTTCATAGTTAATGCTAAGTCTTTGTGAAAACCCTTGCTCTACAAGTCTTGCTTTGTATCTCACAATTTGATCTTTTTCATTTCGTTTTTACATAAATACCCATTTATATCCTACTGGCTTAACATCTTCGAGTGTTTTAACTATGGGTCCAAAAACAACTCGTTTCGTGAGAGACTTTAATTCTTCCCGAATTGCATCTTTCCACTTAGGCCAATCATCTTTACGTCAACATTCTTCAATAGATTTAGGCTCGGGATCCTTGTTTAAAATATCAATTGTCACATTATATGCAAAGATGTTATCAATGAATGTTTCTTTTCGATCTTAATTTCTCTCTGTGTTAACATAATTGATCAAAATTTCTTGATTTTTCTCAAGTATTTGGACTTCTTCGAAAGCTTGTTATCAAAAACATCTTGGATCGTTTTATCCGCCTCTTTTATATTTTCATCTTGATTATTTTCTCTTTTTTTCTTTTGGGGATTTTTATCTTTAGAACCGATCGGTCTTCTACGCTTCGGGCGTGCTTTAGATTCATTTGTTATAACATTAATAGGTTCTCTTACCGGGACATCGATTTTAATAGAAGCATTCTTAGTAGGAACATGTGATTTAGTTATTCTAGTTAGATTAGAGAATACATCCGGCAATTGGTTTGCAAGACTTTCTAAATGAATTATCCTCTAAACTTCAAGCTCACATTATTTTGTACGGGGATCAAGATGATATAAAGATAAAATATTCCACATGATTTCTTTTTTCAATATTTTCAACTACTTATTCCGTTTATTTTCTCCCCTAATATTGAAAAAATTATTTCATCAAAATGACAATCGATAAAACGAGCCATGAAAACATCCCCCGTTAATGGTTCAAGATATTTAATTATAGAAGGAGATTCATATCCTACATATATTCTCAATCTCTTCGATGACCCATTTTAGTTCATTGTGGAGGAGTAATCGTAACATATAATGCATATTCAAAAATCCTCAAATGAGAAACATTTGGCTCATGAACAAAAACCAATTGAAGGGGAGATAATTTCTTATAACTTATAGGCTCGATATGAATAAGCATTACTCGCATGTCCCCAAACATAAACAAGAAGTTTTTTTCATAAGTAATGGTCTAGCTATTAATTTGAAGCTTTTGATAAATGATTCTCGCTAGACTATTTTGAGTATGAACATGAGCAATAGGTTGTTCAACTCTTATTCCAATAGACATGCAATAATCATTAAAAGCTTAAGAAGTAAATTCACCAAGCATTGTTAAGGCGAATTATTTTAATGGTATAATCTGAAAATTATGCTCGTAATCGAATTATTTGAGCAAGTAACCTCGAAAATGTTAGGTTTCGAGTTGATAATAAGCATACATGTGATCATCTTATAGATGCATCTATTAAAATCGTAAAATGTCTAAATGGTCCACATGGTCCACATGGTGGATGAATTGATCCACATATATCACCTTGTATACGTTCTAAAAATGCCGAATAGTCAATCCTAATTTTATTTGTCGAAGACTTAATAATAAATTTGCCTTGAGAACATACGTAACATGAAAACTCATTAGATGTTCTTCAATGGATGTCCATACGAATTTTCGATAATTTTTTGCATCATAATGAATCTAGGATGGCCTAATCGATCATGCCACCAAATAAAAGGATTAGTAAATTTCGATTTACTATGACATTTGTTTCAATCATTTGAATATTTATGTAATAAATTCCAGAAAAGAAAGCGAGTAATTTCTCTAACACATATTTTCTACTCGATGTAATTTTTGTAATATATAAGTACTCAATATTCTCAACATTTGTTGTCTCAATATGATATTCATTTAAACGAATATCTTTAAAACTTAACAAATTTATGTGGGACTTAGGAGAGAATAATATATCATCTATAATCAAATTTATCCTTAAAGGTAGTAATATATTTGCTCTTTCGGAGCCATCAATTAAATTAACACTATCGGATATAGTGTTAACATTAGTCTTGCTCATTATTAAATTGAAGAAATACCTTTTATTTTTAAGTATAGTATATGTTGTTGCACTATCCACGAGGCATAGATTCTCCTCCATGACGTTTAAACCAATAACAAACTTGGTAATATCAATATATTCTTCATAAACATAAAAACAAACAAGTAAATAAAAATTGTAACTACTATGATGAAATTATAAAAATAAAACATAAAACTTCTTTATTTATCAATAGAAAAGGCAATAAAATTTCAACGATTATCATTAACCTAATGATTTTTTCTTTCGAATCTTCAAAGAAATCAGCAACATCTAAATGTGTTAAGTTATTGAAACTTTCAAGAGGAACATTGTCACAATCATTATTTTGATATATAAAATTTGCCTCTATATCACTTTCTTTCTTTTTCAACGAGGCTTGATAAAACTCAACTAGATGCTTTGGCGTACGATAGGTATGCGATCAATATCCCTTCATAAGCACATCTATAACATTCATTTTTGAAGTGTTGACTTGATCCAGACTTTATTCTTTTCTTATTTCTTTTTCATAATTTATCCACTTTTGGGGGTGGGGTGTATTATTATTACCATCATGATTAAAACAATAATTATTCCGATCATGGCTACGGCCATGACCACGTCCATGCTCAAAGTTATTATAAAATGTCACATTCACTTCGTGGAATGGAGTAGACCTAGTTGAGTGAGATTCATGATTTTTCATCGGTAGCTCGTTATTTTGTTCGATCACAAGTAGGCATGAAAATCAATTAAGAGTATTTATTAAAACTTTTTTTTTTGATATTGTTGCTACAGGAGCATATTCGATGCATGAAAAATTGAGAATGTTTTCTTTAACACATCCGAATTAGTAATATTTTCTCCACACAATGATTCTAAATACCGCATAATTATACTCATTTACTTGTTTTGAAATCTTATAATCTTAAGTGCATCAAATCATAACGAGCTTTTGGAAGAATTATCATCTTTTGGTGGTTCTATCTTTCCTCTAAATTTTTTCACAATTCAAGTGGATCTTTCACTATTAACTATTCAATTTTCAAATCCTCATGAAGATGACGACGAAGGAAGATCACTCGCCTTAACACGGTTTTGCAAGGATTCTTGATTATCATCCATGATTGTTTGTCCAAGGCCATTAGCATTTAAATGTATATCAGCATCAAACACCTATGATAAATAATTCTTGCTCGAAATGTCAAGGGTCACAAAATCAAGCTTTGTGAGGTTTGACATGATAAAAATTCTATAATACAAGATATAATAATGATGTTAGAAAATAAAAACAAACATAATAATAATATTCAAACTTCTCAAAACAACATGCATTAGATTATTCGAATATATATTAGATTATTCAAGTTTTTCAAATATATATTATATGTATCATTAGATTTAAAGTAAAAGATAGGTTAGGTACATACCTCTTAATAGCCTAGATGATTTGCGTCGTTTGGTAGAACAATTATGCTGAAAAAATAGAAATAATAAGAGAATTGAAGAAAAGGATGACAAGAAAAAAATTTATTATAAAGTGAATATAAGTGATAAGAACTTTAAATTATTTTCTTAATTTTTCTTAGAACTTGTACATCAACTAATGAACAATCAAGATAGGCTTTAAAATTGAGATGAGAATTGTAAGGATCTATGAAAATTAAAAGCACATCAATTACATCATCTTTTCGGTTTCTCATATTGAATGATGAATTGAATCACATTAAAAATCATGAGTAGTGAGAATATAAAAAATAGATAAACATTTATATAGACATTCATTATTTCATAATAATAATATATATATATATATATATATATTTTTTTTTTTTTCTAGACGCGGATGCGTATATTTTTGTGGGCTTAGTCCCTTGAGGCTCATCAGAAAAAAAGAAAAAGAAAAAGAAAGATTAAAAGCCCGAAATACAAAATGACTGAATCCAACTCGCCCCAGTTGCTACGTCCGTTGTGTGTTTGTAGGTTAGAAAAAGGTCCGAACAAAAAAGAAAAGGAAAAAAAAATCAGTAAGGAGCGGATAAGTAGAAACAGAACCACAAAGGTAGTGATAATTGCAAAGGAATTTCAAATACAAAAAGAGAGAGGTCTGTCTGTCTATAATGGAGAAGTACTTTGGAAATGCATACAGAGGAGACCCAGGAGTGCCACACGCTGACCCTGACCGATTCGTTAACATATGGATCGGGTCGGCTGCTTTCTCTATTCTCACCTGGTCCAATCCCTACCTTTGGACTCTCACTAATCAGTTCAAGTACTCTCTCTTTTTACTTATTTATTTACTTTTGCAATTTTTATACTGCTTGTTTGGCTCTGTTGAGGGTTTTGTACTGTTTACTTAGGAGAAACCATTTGGTTATTCGATTGACATGGAAATTATTGTTATTCAGTTACTGAATAAAATTTGAAATGAATATATTTAAGAGATGTTTGTCTTTTTTTTTCCTTTCCCTTAAGCTCTTTTTTATTTGTTTAAGGGTGTCTTAATAATTGGTTTTCTTTTGTTTTTAATCGCATTTGAGGGCTAAAGTTGTTAATTAAAAAATTCATAGCGAGAATGATGATTTTTTACCACTAAATCTAAGGGGTTGAGAATTGTGTAAAGAATTAAAGCACAAATTTGGCCGTGGAATTTGTATGGGATATTTAGTTGTGTAAGGTTTCCCACATTCTGAATCTGACTATTGCGTTTTAAAAGGATTTTCTTGGATAAAAAGAAAAATTATGAATGTTTGTTATCTTGCATCTTCCTACAGATTGCTTCATGGAAAATTTTAGACGGATATTGTGACCGTACTTCAATGTACTTTGGTCCTTTTGCATCTGCTGTATGAGATTGTGATTTATGATTAGGTTTTGGTTCCTTACTACTTCTAAGGCTTTTTTCAATATAACAAACTGAATTTGAGAACTAGATGATTCCTCTTCTTCTACTTTGATGTAACCATAAAAGATCAAATTTTTGTACCAAGCCTTCACAAAGTCTTGATTTCTTTTGCTCTGCCAAAATGATTAGCTTTTGTTGACATGAACATGCATCTTGTAGCCGCCTGAAAGCTCTGCTATTGACAATGTTATAAGTATCAATGTTCTTACAGTTTACCTGAAGAATTTTTACTGTTTTTGCAACAAAAGAATTTTGTTTCTATCTTGCATTTTGATACATTAAAATTTGCAGTTGGCACGACAAGGCATTTTTGTTTGAGCAATACCACTGGAAAAATGCAAGGAAGAAGAATGAGCCATATAAATTTAAGGTGCACTATATGGCTAACTCAAGGCCAAAATCTTTTCAAATTCATTACTCTTGATGGTTTGATTATTTTATGCTTGTTGTAACTAGTTACAATCTAGCCAAATTGAATGTTAGTGTTCACGTGGTATTTCCTTTGTTGCAGTGGAATAAAATGGACAGGGAGGTTCGCGATTCATATTATTTCAACTGGCCAATCTACTTCCCTTAGTTTCAGAAGCTTATTCTCTGTGGAACTTTGAGAACAGTAGGAACAAAGCTTATGCATTCCTCAGTATCCCCATCACTCGCTTTCGTTTTGCACTTGTTCTGGTGGATTGAAAACCTTCAATTATTATCTCAGTTGTTTTTTCAATTAATGTACTAGATCTTTAAGTGGTCTTTTTGAAGTGTATTCAGTAGTAGAAAGTTGTGGGAAAGACAAGGTAATGGTTAATATTGGGTGCAAGAGCAGTTGACAATGAGGAAAATAAAAATAGATGATTATGTCTGGTCATGTTACATGCAAAGTAATCAGATCATCTAAACAGATTGAAATAGGTTGTGACTTGCCCTTTCTTTGTATTGAATGTGCTCTTTAAGAATCAGAGAGATTGTTCTATGCTCTGATGAGCTTATCTAACCATGAATGGGCTGTTGAAATGTTAGCGAGTGACAGATCTCAACTGTACATCTAATTCCAAGTAGCTGGGATTGCAATTTGCATAAGAGGACGCATTTCTCTTCTGAATCTTCAATTCAACCGACGATACATTGCCATTTGATATATAAAAGAAACATGTAATTATGGAGAATTCTTAACATGGATTCAGCGTTTAAGCCATGAAATCAAAAGGAGTTACAAATTCTGCCTGCAATCACCTTGAGCCATGAAATCACATGAAGTTATTATTTCATCTCCGGAGTGTCATTCACGCGCTTGTAAAAGGGCTTCGGAGCTGTACTGTACACACACGACAGAGTTCGTTAAGCCTATCCAAAAGAAACAGGATAATTCACTTTCGGACTTCAGTTCAGTCCTGTGGTACGGTCCCAGAAAAGGAAAGAAAAGAATGGCATTTCTCCATCTTCCTTCATCTCTCGCACTCAGAACTACTTGTCGCCCTGCATTGAAATCACTACCCATCACTGCCTCGTCTCGACCAATCCAAAATTCAGCTAAATTTGCCAACTGGGTCCTCGATTTCCGATCCAAATCTTTGAATTTAGCCTTCTCTGGGACTCTCGCACTTGGTCTATCTCTCTCAGGCTAGTATAAGCAGTATTTTCTATTAATGCTCGGTAGATTTGAGTATGGCTAGCATGTTTGTGTTAAGACTGCTTTGGTTCGTGGCTAAGTTATATCCACGTGGTTGATTTTGTCTGATGATCTTTTTTTAATCTCTGCAATATGGGTTCTATGTTCTATCTTATGTTTGATATCCTTTAGCTTTTCTGTTGTAATTTCTAACTCTGCAGCAATGGTTCAATGCTTTATTACTGTTGTTTTGTAATGTCTTTATGATGTGAAGTCCAATGATCAGCAACCATAGTTACTTCTAGTGATGCCAACATTTCTTTTTTATGTGTCTGTAATGTACGAGTTTCTACCAACTATTATCAAATTCTGTAGGAGTTGGAGTTGCTGAAGCAAAAGTTGGGGTTAACAAGCCAGAACTTCTTCCTAAAGAGTTTACTACTGTTATAGATGTGGCTGGGTTCCTTTCTGATGGTCAGGTGAGGTGTCCTTACTTTTCCACTTCTGTGCCTTTCTGTAGATATTTATATATAATTGCTTGCTAATTTGGTGGACTTTTTGTTAATTTATACGGGTGGAATTTTTTCAGATGGGAATATGATTTACCAGTTGGTCTATCAAGCATTGTCGATTCCTGAAATTTCATTGTTTTACGATGGTGTTCCCTTTTCTTTTGAGTGTGTGTAGGGCATTCTTTTTACTGAAATTGTTTCGTTTGAGTAGAAAATGTTTGTCTTAAACCAATGGCCCCTCTGTTTTTGTTGTTGTTGTTGTTCTTCTTTGCTTCATCGCTTTTTTTTTTAATTGTCTTCTATTCCACTTAATAATTAGTTTTTCATCTTCTGCTATTCCTATCGCTTTCTTAAGACAAGAGTCCAGTTTGATCAAATTCTACGAGTAAAATGGGCAGGTGCATGTTTAGATTCTCTACTGACAAGAATGTTCTTGAAACGTTACTCTCACGATTGTGTTTTGAGTTAAATTATATGATACGCTCCTCTGAACTGAATGAAACAATTTATAACAATTTGTGTTGAAAGCCAATTGTTGAATGATGGGATCAGGCTCAATTGAGTAGTCTTATATATCATGGATCTCTTTGTAGTCAGTATTTTTACCCTTAGCTAACGATTTATTTACGTTCAATGTATGAGCAAGCAAAGGAGACGATATAGAATCCACTTCCTGTTGTGACTTATTTGACTGTGAATCATATTCGATAAAACTTTTGACTCTCATAAATTTTCTACACCTGTTTGGTTTACTGGCACTTGCTTGCTTGCATTTTTGCAAGGTATGGGGTAGCGACACTGAGATGCTGATTATGTTCTATCGAAAGACACTGTTGGGTGGTTTGATTCATACAACATGTGTGTGGGACTATTATCTTACAACTAAATGCAGGCAAATTGAAGTCTGTGAACTTCAAATGAATATAAAATTAAGGGCTCCAGCTTAAAGCTATGGGATATCTGAAGGAGATATGGTTATTTTGCAGGAGAAAAGACTTGTACGGGAGATTTCTGATATTGAAAAGGATACTGGATTCAAATTAAGAGTTTTAGCTCAGAATTATCCTGAAACACCGGGTATTCTTTGCATGTTAAGTGCTTGTCAATGGGTTTGATATACTGATCTTTAAGACAATTGTACCTTTCCTTAACCTCGTACCTTTCTGTACTTTAAAGGCATGCTCTTAGTCTTTTTGTTTATTTATTGTCCTTTTATTTTGCAGGATTGGCAATTAAAGATTTTTGGCAAGTGGATGATAGAACTATTGTCTTTGTTGCTGACCCCAACTTTGGTAAACAGGATTCATGCACATTGCACTCTTTTTACTACATCAACCATTGATGATCAAGACTAATGCATTTCTTTGACCAGGAAATATATTAAATTTTAATGTGGGCGGTTCAGTTGATCTAGACATTCCACGTAGCTTCTGGAGCCGTTTGGCAGGGAAATACGGAAACATTTTTTACTGGAAAGAGAAGGTGAAGTTACAACATCACCAGGATATTTTTCATGTTGTTTGGGCTATGCAAGAATTTATTCTGAAGCAATCATACATTACTTGATTCTTAAAACAGGGGGAAGATGCATCTATTGAAGCTGCAGTGATGGCAATCTCCAGTTGCTTGAAGGAGCCTGTGAGCCCAAATAATTGCTCTGAGGTGAAATGATATTGATACTGGTTCCAGCATGCCAGATTCTTTTTTATTCATACTCCGCCACTATTTGTAAGTGTTGCATAATTATATCTATAGACTACCTCAGTTACGTTTGTAAAACCACTTAAAGTTGATTTTGTTATGGTGTGTCAAGGATTGCGTCAGATCTATGCATAGGGATATCCTCTCTCTTTTCCTTGTTTTGGTTCCTCTCTTTCCTAGAGAAACCTACTTTGACATTAACAATGAATGTTTGTCCTTAAGAGATCTCCAAACTCTCATGCACCTTTTTTGTTTTAATTCTTTTGATACCTTTATTCAATTGCTATCCGCCATTTATATAGTAAAGGCGGCTGAAAAATAAAGACAAACATTAACATAGAAGGTTTTAATTAAAATACCATACCAATTATGACTCTCATATCATTTCTCTAATTTGACATATTCTTAATCAATAATAAATAAAAGCAATAAATAAATATTCACAGCATCTTAGTTTCTTAGTTTCCCTCCTTTTGTTGCTGCCTTCTTGTATACTGCTGACCCACAAATGCATCTGCGGCAGATTTTCAGAATTAAATAAGGTCAATAGAGTCTATAATAACAACTTTTGGTTGGTGTTTTCAGATTTCAAATTTCATGTAAAAAAGGAGGAGAAAACCTATTTATTTCCAGGTTAACTGGGAGGAGAGGCTGGAGAAAAGACCAGCTTCTGCTAGATGTCCCTCCTTGTGTTACATGCTTATGAGGCCATCTTGTGTCACTATTAAAGGCACTTACTCCTAAAATTGTTTCTCTTTCTCTTGCTGTGTTTCACATTGTACCTTCTACAAAATCCCTAGAAACTATGTTATATATGCAGCCTGCTGTACTTTGTTTATTGATTTCTATCAACTAATTAACGTAACTAAATTTCACAAACCCTTTTTCTTGTGCGTTACTGTTAGTTTTTTCTTTTATCTACATCTGGAAAAATCTCACACACAAACAAAAACGTAGGCAACTGGATGCCTTGTCTGGACAAGATCAATTAGCTTGAAACTCATCTCTTACAAATGATAAATGTCTTTGAGTTCTTCTAATGCCAACAATCCGACTATCAATTTGGTTGTGGCACTGCATACTTGAGGTTATATTTGCAAGTACAGAGGTCGAATTGGCTTGTATTTGTTAAGCTTTAATATTGTGATTTTGTCCTTCTATAATTCAGACACAATACCTGGCCTGTTTATCATCAGTCAGATATTTAATTGAATACTCATTCCTCTCAACATTTAGGGATCGACCAAGGAATTCTAAATTAATAAAAGAATGTAAGGTTATAAGCATCAACAGTACTTCTCTGCTCTAAGAAAGCAAGAACAACTGTGTTAAACTGAAAATTAAAGACACATCGTTCTTCCTGAAGATCAACTTGATGTGTTGGTAGCATTACAAGCAACATTGTGTACTCCTACCATTCAGTGCATGTCCTTCTCTTTCTCCTGTTTTCTAGAATCTTCTGTAGTTCTTCGGGTCGACAAGGGACTGCAAGAACTCCCTCCTGCTTAAATCCATATTCCTCTTTAGCCTGCTCTAGTAAGCTCAAGAAATCTGGATTAGTGAGGTAATTCAACTCCACAATAAACCTCTTTGGTTCTTCACCCTTGATTGCAGTGACTGCAAAATGTCCCTTCTTTACATCAAATGGAACCACTTTTGCAGCTTCCATCTCTTCATCGAACCCGATTTCACTCACATTGGCTCCTCTAGAAGCTGAGAGCAAGAGAATCCGCTTCAGCTTTCTTATGAAAAGCTTAAGCATCGTTGCTCTTTTAAGGCTTTCTTCCAGGTTTTCAAGGTGATATATTTCTCGAAGTGCGGTATAGACTTGGTGTAGAGTCTATAATTCTTGTTCCTTTCTTCTTCTTCAATTGAACATGGAGAACCGAGCTGGCTAGGAGGAAAGATATACTACTTAAGTGTCTAGCTAGGGCATCGGAAGCTTAGCTGAAGTTTCTAAAGAACATAGTGGGACCATACATACGGACTCAAACCTACATATATCATTTAATTATTTCAACATTTGACTGTTCATCTCCCCATCATCTCTGTAACTGGTGGGGTCTTAAAACACGGTTTACACTGCAGTTTTCTTAGTTTCGAGTCCTCTTCTTTTTTACCACCCCAACCCCTCTAATATAAGCTAGATGCAGAAAACTTACTTCCGTAATTATAGCTACGTTCTCAACTTCTCATATATATGGCATGCAATTGATAAATGGATATTGAGATGCCGATCAAAGAGCAATTAGATTATTACATAACATGCAATTGATCATATATATGTGTGTGTGTGTGAGATAGAATATTTGAGACTTTGCGATATTCCTTGCATGGTAAGCTTAATTAATTAAACCGGGGAGTTTATAGCAATTAGTTCTTTAGATCTTACTTTGAGGATGACTTTCGTAGGGATAAAAGACCGACAAAACATTTCCGAGTTGACTTATTAAAGTTTCTATGGTGTCGGCCATTTGTTATTTGCTCAAAGTTGTAGCATGATACAGCTAGCTTCTTCAGTGAAATAAGATTAAAGTCCTGATGATTTTAATTTTTTTAATAATTATATAATAGAAAAGGTTATTCTCATTATATAGTCCAATAAATTCATCAAGCCTTCCATGAAAAAAAAAAATTGTAGCATTATGCATTTAATATCTTCAAAGCATGCAGTGCAGTCCACTGCGTACATAGAAATGTACCTTAATTTGAATATACGTGCCTTTCTATAGGATAGATCTTGCTAAAAAAAAAAAAAAAAATTCTATAGGGTATGTATGATACTATATATGTATCACCTCCTCACTCTCTCTCTTTATATATTTATATATATTGCATTAATGACTGTAAATGGTGTTCAAATTCACTGAGACAACTGCATGTCACATTTGCTCCAAAATGAATGGCTAGGAACAATATTGGGAAGGGATAATCACAAAATAATTTGGATTGACGAGACTCGACGAGTAACTAATGATTGAAAGAGAATACAGCATGGTAAGTTGCCGTTTGATGATCGAAGAATTGTCTTTGTTAGAATGCTGTTGCTAGGGCGAGACTTTATGTCAACATTAATTTAGATGCTTCCTTGATATTTCACGTACAACGTGTCATATTAATAAGATTTGCCACTCCTTAAGCATACAAAAGCATGAAATCACTCGTCTTGACAGGCTTGCCCTATTTTTCTGTTGTAATAACTGGAGGTATAAACATCAATCGTACGTCACTGCAGGTATAACGTCCACTACTCTAGTGCGAAGATCTGCTTTTACCTCCCTTTTACCAATCCCTTCTTCTTGGTCCTTTCCTTTTTTCTGATTATAACTTATCGGTGACAACGTGTTTGCAGCATATATATATATATAGAGAGAGAGAGAGAGAGAGTACGTTAATTGCACTGCAGTACTGCATCCCATCATTATTAATTACCAGTACGTATGGTTGTCGAATGGTTGGGCGGCAGAAGCAGTAGCTACCTGGCCATTACGATATTCATTTTACACAATATTTTATACATATCTGATGTGCTCAGAACACGTACCTCCAAGATTGGACTGCATATGTCTATGTTGCTACTCCTCTGGTAACAAAATGAGCTATCATGGTACGGACCAAATGGCAAATCACACGCTTGCTAACTTGATTTTAATGTGATGTATATCTCAATTGAGTCTGAAAAATGAAATGGGTCACTTGTCATTCAATTGACAGAGTCAAGCTTTAACACAGCGTACTTTAAACCACAATTAAGGAGAAGAGGGTTAGATTAGGTTCACATTTAGCGTTACATAAAGCTAGTTTTTCAGTCGAAGCCAACTAATTAAGCACTAATACTGAACAAAGTTCTGCTCCCTATATATATATATATATATATATATATATATGTATATGTATATATATATCTTATCCATTGAGTAGTATTGAAATTTTGTTAACCAAGATTAGAATTTCTAGCTAGCTACAAGGCGGCATGCACTGTCCCAATTCCAGGAAAGAATTCGATTAGAGAAATTAAACTGAATCTACGTACAATGTTATCCTGCTTCTTTTTTTTTTTTTCCCATTATCTTCTTTTATTTTTGATGCATTTTCCATCATCTGCAGCTCCCGTTATGCCTGGTGAAAAACCAGCCTCTATGACTAAATGATCTGGTTCTTTCTTCAGCATTTCGTAAACATCAACTACATAAGTTCCAGATTCCTGAAGCACTAAACTATTAGTCAAACAATTAATCTAGAAAGTCTTCTTTCTTTATCAGTTTGGCACTTTTCTCCTGTCTAGTTGATAAGGGAACAGGAAAAAAAGAGTACTTCATGGTTTGAAATATATGTAGGAACTTGACAAAAGTTTAGCATGTGTCGCCAAATGGGTGTGTGGTGATAATTAATTAACTTTTAGCGAGACTGGAGAACAGTCTCCCCATAGCAGCCCTTGACGTTTTGGCAAAGTAAGCAGCTTTAGTTTTAAGTTAAATGCTCTAGCTACATATATATGTATATGATATGAAACTTTCGTATTATAAGACTTCGTGACCTTGTAGTGGATTATATATACACCAACTTAATGATTTTCTTGAAGGAAATGATTACAAAAGAAGCTTAATTTCCCTAATTATAATGATGGGATCACTGCATGTAGTGGTTTCAAAACATTAGTTCTTTAATTTGTCTAATAACTCATCATCCCCATGATGGCCATTTCCCCAGAATCTTCTGCAATTCCGCACGGACGACAAGGAAGGGCCAGTGTGTGTGACCGTTTACCTCCTCAGCTAGCCTCCTCCAGCTTGATCAAGTTCGAGAATAATATTAGTCTTCTGTTATGCCTCTAACTCTTTCTTTTGTTTTTGTTTGTTAATAAATCCAACTCCATCCAGTGCTTTCTTAATCCCTCTTGTTTTTGGTGGACATTAATTTCCCAAGTGAAGTTGTTTGATCATTTTGGGGACTTAGGCTGTGTTTATTCGAAGGAAAATAAGTTCTAGAAACTTATTTTTCTTATTTTTCGGTGTTTGTTTCGCATTTAGAAAAAAAGTTAACGAAAAATGATTTTCAATCAACAAAAAATGATATGATATTTTTGAAAAAATGTTTTCTTAATTAAAAAAGAAAAAAACATTTTCCTTCTCATGAGCTATTTCGTTTTCGCATTACTTACCTCTTTCTCGATATATTTTAACAATTTTTGTCTTTATTTTTTTATTTAAAATATATCAAATTAATTTTTAATTATTCCTTATCAATTATTATTAATTATTTAATTATTTTTTCTCTATTTATACTAATATTTGATTTTTTGATTTATAGATACATTAAATATTCTTAAAAACCATATTTACACCTTAAAATTATTTTTATATTAAATATTTCAATAATTTATCTTAATTGTTTTTGCTATTATCTCAAACATCACATAAACTATACTTAAATAATTGAAAATGATTATTACAAGACTGCAATCTTTTGTAAAAAAAAATTAAAATTAATTAATTTATTAATAAATACATTATTTTTTCAATACTATTCATTTGCAACTAAATCAATAATTTTTAATTTTAATCGGTTGTAAAATTTTGTTAATAATTGTAGTAAATAATTAGTTACAAATTATTTCAACATTAATCTTTTGAAACCAAATGAATAATTATCTACAAATGATAACTAATAATTTATAAAACTATTTTTTAGACTAAATTATTAGTTCAATTTCTAAAAAATAAAAGAAGAATTATTAATTGAATTACCAAAATAACAATGCTAGGATTACTTAGAATTTATTTTTTTTACTAAATATGAATATTGACTTAATTTTGTCCCAAGTAATTTCGATGAATTGTTTTAATGATTAAAAAGGTACATTTTATTTTTTGAATTAAAATTTTAAAATTAGTATTTATGAAAATTTATTAAATTTATTAAAATATATTTTATATTATGAAATTATGAATATATTTTTTAAAATTTTTTTAAAACTTATTGACGTAGCCATGATAGACTGACAATTCTCTTTTTTGAGAAAGTCTCGTATCAATTCAAGACTCCCTCTCTTCTGAAACAATTTCTTTTGCTTCCCTCTCATTCAAGAACTCAAACACTTTATGCCTAAAGTCAACACAAACACTTTTTTTTTTTTCTCCCAAAGGCCATATCTATAAAACATAAGCAACATCCAGACACGACTTGCACTAAACATTAGGTGTGTACACAAAAAAAAATTATAACAAAAGGAGGCTACAAGCCTGAAAAGACAGAAAGTTGGTTTTTTTTTAATGTAATATCGTTATATAATGAAAAATAACAAGATTATATAATAAAAACATCTTTATTGCTATTATATTTATGAAATGACTTTAGGATACTCATAATATAGAATAACAGTAACGAGGTGTTTTAATCTTGTTATATAACAAAAGCCGTTACGTTATTTATCTTATGTTCTTCCCCTTGCCTTTGGTCTTTTTGTCTTTTAATTTGCATCCGATTCACAAATTAATGTTTGAATATTTATAATTCAGTACTACGCTCTTATACGGTTAATCAAGACCTGATGGCTATAGACATTGGCTAGTGAGTGATGTTTGGTCAAAAAATTTTAAAAAGCTACTCCTTGTTATGCATAGCTAGGATTAATCGTTACCTCCCACAGGACTCCAAAATTCTATTAATCATGCTTTAATTCCAAATTAATAACTGATGGTTAGATGTGTAAGGCCCAATGTGCTCACTTTTTTCTTGCCAATTTGGATGAAGCTGTTAGAACTTAATTTGTCATTCCTATAGACTTCATAAAAAACTTATGCAACTAATTAATTAAGCACAAGCGTTCGGTTTAAAATGAGGGGATTGGTATATTTTTTTATTTTTCAATCAAAAAACAGAGTCAACAATCCTATTTGATAAAACCAAATTAATAGTGAAATCCACGTGGGTTTCATGTTAAGAACTCAAAATTTTCTCAGATTGTTAAAATTCTTTGTTTAAGAAAATAATTGTTAAGATCGTAGAAAAACTGATTTTTAAGTAGTTGTGAACGATTTCATCAAGGTAAGCAAATTTTTAAATTTTAAAGACTTTTATAGAGTCAGCTAGCAGCCCAATAGTACGTGGGTCGTCCTTTCTCTCTTATAAAATGAACAATAGTAAGGCCCGTGCAATCAACCACTGTATAAGTTTTTTTTTAAGAAGCTAGGTTTATATTGATTAATATTTTATTAATTGTTTGATCATTGATAAATATGACTGTTTCAGTATAGTGCTTTTAAATTCATATTTTATACAAACCTTCCGTTACAGTTATACTTCAATTTTTTTTAATATAGAATTTCCTTAAAATTTGTAAACCACAAAAGGTTTGTGACTTCACAGAAATCTTCCCTAATTGTCATACATTATTATTATTATTATTTGGAAGGCACTATACTCATTACTAATGTCTTCCAAGACATTATAAAACATCAATCAAACGAGAAAAAATAAGCTCGGGCAAAAAAAAAAAAAAAAAAAAATTGATATTTGGGTAGACGGAGAGGAAGAGGAAGCAAGAGAAACCTATAACTATCACAGCCTTGTTATTCCGAGGATGCTCTGTAGCTCATCTGGTCGACAGGGAATCGCAAGAGCTCCCTCCTGAGAAAATCCAAATTCTTCCTCAGCTTGTTTTAGCAATCTCAAAAACTCAGGATTATTTAGACAACCCAATTCAACAATGAACCTCTCTGGTTCCCAACCTTTCGTTGCAATTACCACAAAGTGGTATTCCCTCCCCCTTGTGGACCGCGAGAGGCCAGCTTGCGCTTTTCCTATGATCAATCTTATTTTGTCAATGCTTCCCTTCCTCGCTCCCTCAGAATTTTTTATCTTGCCCATGGTAGAGTTACTTGCTAAAAAAAACCACAGTGCCTGCTAGTGCTTGCTTTACTTGTTAGTGTGAGATGCGATATTTATAACATGCAGTATCTGAAGCATGCAAATTGAAGATGGGATCCAAATTGAGGAAAAGGTGATGGATAGTGGGGCCTTGGCACATGGAGCTTCATCAATCTTCAGATTCAGTTGCTTCCCTTTTATGGGTCGAATTTATTTGCTGCTTACAATTTCTGATTCTGATGCCTGCGATAATGGGGTCTACGTTACGCTTTATACGATGTGAGGATACGTGTGAGTGCCTACGTTGAAAGATTTGCTTCTTCAGCTCCAACCATTTCATATATCTCTTCATCTTCATCCAGAAATATTGTAAGTTTTGACAGTGCCGACTTCTAGTTTTAATTACCGGATTAAAGCATGTAGCTAATAATATTGCTGTAGTGACAAAAGCAGTTGGTCAGTGAAGCAAAGGCCTATATTTCTGCCTATTATTGACCGGAAGAGGTGATGCTCTTTTGGCATGCTGTTAGTTACACTTGTTATGAAACATAACGAGAAACACCTTGAAAATACATCAGCCTAGACTTGTATTGCATGGCCATCGCACAGCTACAGCAAAAATCAATCCTACTAATAGCAATAGACAGTTGCAGCTAATGCTACTCTTGCTCAGGTAAGAGAGATGATGTCTCGAGTTAGAGTCTCGCCTTTGTCAATCCTTCTCTAGAGTTAAATACAAAAGTCAGTCTGCATATATACCATGAGAAAAAATAGAATCAGAAAACCAAGCAAGTGATGACTGGAAGATGTGCAGAAGTTCATAAAATGTTTAAGCAGGTAGTGTACGACGTAGTTCAACCTTTACAAAAAAAATTGCATGGAGTGACCACTGCTATCTGATTTTTGAGGAGCTAAAAATGCTCTGCAGCTCAACAAGACAGGAAAAGTGAGCACTCCCACTTGCTAAAACGCAAATTCATTCGTCCAACATGATCCATGGGTGAACTAAATGATCAAATTCACCGGTGTTCTCTCCGGTTTACTACAACTAATAAAATGGCCCACAAAATGTCCGTCCTCGATATCCACTGGGAGCACCTCAAGTGATGGACCCTATCACCCAAATCATAATAAATAAGAGGACCAACAGAAGCAGTGGCATGATGTGAATTTCGTATTAGCAGGTTAAGCCTCAACATCAACCAATTCCCTTTTGTCTGAGCCATTTTTGACAAGTGAAGGTTTACATACTTCAAACATTTTGCTTGCATGCAATCAGCCAAGAGAGATTTAACCACAGATGATAGAGATCTCACTGGCCAATCATTAAGACACATAGAAAAATGTTTAGGAAACATTTTCCTCTTTTAATAGATGCAGTCATTTGAACGAATCTACAAAGTGGAGCATGCATAATAAGTTTCAGGCCCAGAGACTCCCCATAGATAACAGCTGTCTCCCTTCAACTCAGTTGAAACTTGACACATAATTCACTTTGCATAAATAACCAAGATTTTTTTGTTACATCTGATGGTCCAAGATTATGAAGTGATGAGCATAATTCTGCAGTGCCAGTATAAAAACAATCATGTTCAAAGCCTCAAACTAACGATGAAAGAGTAAAATGGATTCCTGAAATTGAATTAGGTTCAGATATGAAAGGTTAAACAAAACAAAAGACATGAAAACCTGGCTTTCTGAGTTGAAAATTGTGCGTTTGGACAGAAAAGAGGGTTATGCAAACATAACCGCTGGAATTACCCTAATGATATCAACTGAAGTACGGAATGGGAATATGACAGGAAGTGGATTACAAAACAAAAGGAAGTACAGTTCCAGGAGTTTATAATATTAGTAAGAACCGAAATAATGTACTCATTGGAACAGTTGGACTTGCAATGATTGAAAGTCAAAAAATATCAAATGCCAATGTTGCCCTTCAAAGTTCCAGTAGTTTATATTTTTAACCAAATGCTCTCAGTGCAAAGAACCAAACATTCTCAGCACGAAGAACCAAAACTCATACTTGGGTATGTTTAGCAGAGTTTATTAAAATAAGATGTATAATTTGATTCTTCGCTAATATATTGCACTAGCCTTGTACTCTCACTGTATAGAGGAATCAAATCCTCAATATATCTCGCCACAATAGCATAACGGGAAAACAAATGCAATGGCCAGAAAACAAGGAAACAAAACATATCCATTTCACTCCTATCCTTTGTACTCCAAAACAACTTTTAAGGATATGATACAAACTTTGAATAGTTATGCAAAAGCAATCACCATAAAGAAATATTACACCATCTCTTAGAGCAAGAGATGTTATAGTCTAGTAATTGGCTTGATAACCACCTAAGCTTATCCCTAGTCAACAGGCATAAGATAGCAAGATTCTAATGATCCAATCAAGAGAAGGATGATAAACACCTTTAAAATCAGAAAAGAGTTTACATCTTTGAAAGAGAAAGTCTAAACATCTAGCTATCCTAGTTAATGATTCCAGTTAATGAATTGAACAGTATAAAACGCTCCAGTGTAACAGACGGAAGACAAAGACAATGATCTTCTTAACTAATCTCCCACTAGCCAAGTTTGGAAGGAATTTTAGTTTCATAATATCTTTAGTAGGAAGAAAATGTAGACATACATCAAAACATGAAAAAAAACAAACAAAAAGAGCTTGGGTAACATTTGGATATCATCAATGAATGATGAATGAATACAGCTCCTGCCAATCCTCTTGTAAACCATAATTATTTCTTGGAGTAGATTAAGGTACCCTGGTTATGAGCACATATAATAGTATTAATCTGTAAGCCATGATTAGATTATGCTAAGGTGTGGTGTCATCATATTTTAGTGCTCAGCTGTGCCATTTACCCAGCTATCCAATAACTCCTAGTAGAATTTTAATAGGTACTTACCACCTATAAACGTTGGATTTTAGTAATTACTCTAAGATCTAATATCATTCACGTTATAGTTGGACCCTCTGCTAGACAAAAAATCCACAAGGCAAACAAAGCCTTACAAAACCAACTGGTTTGGTTTCAGGTAAACAGGCATCTACTAGCAAGAACATGGTTTCCACTGTCAGCTGATTTCCTTAAGAACGAATACCACTGGTTTGGATTTGAAATACTGTGCTATGACAAGCACATCGGTTTCCCCAGCTCAGATGGTTTATGAAATGATTACTAAAGAATAGAAGAAGAAGAACAGCATCCAATGGAAACAACATATTAAAAGACTAATATATGATAAACTTGAAAAGTCAACTGATAATTCAGAACTGGATCGTGTATATTTTTAAAATGGATATCAAACTCTGATTCTTATTGAGCAAGAACTATACATACTCGAGCACAAGTCCTCTACTGACCATCTTTGCAAAGACCCATCAAACTGTTGCTCTGCGCTGGAATCCAGTTCCAGGATCATCAGTGGAAGGGAAAACCTGGAAGCCAGTAACCATAGCATCAGGTGGGCCGCGGCGGCACCTCTGCTCCATTTCCTGTACCTTATCAGAATCACCAGAGAATAGAGCCTCCACAGAGCCATCCCTTCTGTTCCTCACCCAACCTTTTAACCCCAATTGGGTTGCATTCTCCACCGTCCAATTCCTATAAAACACTCCCTGCACCCTCCCTTTAATCATTACCCTCACCTGCACATCCAGAAAACCCATCACTTAAAAACCTCCGGTTTCCACATTCAATCAGTCCATTTAGAGAAATTCATTATTCACACATGCTTAACAATCAAAACCCATTACTCAGCTAACGAAATTTTTATTCTGATCAACTCATAAACAGCTACCACATTTTCATTCATTCTCAACCCATCAGCCGGAAACCTCTAATCTCTACATTGAACTGATCAATTTTACAGAGACAGACCATTTACTAAAAAACGAATAACACTCATAACCCATCATTTAACTCACAAAAAAGTCCACTTCTTTATTGTTTTCTTAATCCAATTTCCATTGAAACAGTCACAAAACGTACAAAAATACAGAGAGAGAGAGAGAGTATAAAGACTTTACCGTTTTGGTAGAGGGTGATTGAGGAGGTGGGTCAGGAGGAGATTGATTAGTATTGGTCATGGAGGTCAAAGGGGATCGAAAAGAAGGAGAACGATATTGGAACATAAAGCAAAGAGAAGGATAAGAAAGAAGAGAAGGAGAGCAAAGCGAAAGAAAAGAATGAAGAGAATAAGAGCTATGAAAAGCGAGAATGGGGAATCTAGGATAAATACTAACATTGTAATAATTTTTGTTGTTCATCCATTTTTGATCGGGGAAGTTGTTGGCATATCTTATGAAGAAAAATCTGGAGGGTCTTGGTGGCCTGATCAACAGTGGCCTGAGAGTGGCTGTCGTAGTAGTTGATGGCATTGCTGATGCCATTGGCTATTCGCCTATTCGTTTGACTTGGGTTCTTTGGCATCCATTTATAGGTCGATTTCTCTACGAGATTCTTTTTTGCCTTTTTTTTTTTTTTTTGGGGGGGGGGGGGTGGGTGGTGGCGTGGCGCTGAAGAATCTGATTCTTTACGTGGTCGGAATTTGATGCTTTCTAATTTATAATTTTCATCCCCCTCATTAGATTTTTTTTATATAAAAAATGATAGTTATATAGCTCGTAAATTGAATAGATTGATGCATTTGACAACAATTGTTACTGAGAAAGAATTATTGAACTCGTGAATTATAATGGTTGAAAATTCAGCAGTGAAGTAAAAATTAATACAGCTTATATAATTAGACAGATGTTGCGTAAGGCAAGGCATTATTTACATCACAATTTAACCAATTATTTGTAAAATTGATTTGATTTTGATTTTGAGTTTGGGAAACAATTCTTTGGTTTGGAATCAATTTTGAACATTGGAATTCTATTAAATCAAACTCATCCCTAAATATTACTCTTCTATCATTTTACATCCCTCGAGGAAATCAATCAAAGCCAATATGAAGTTAAAAATTGTTCCTCT